AACTGCAGAATCTTGGTCGGATCTCCGTCTCTATATATCCCATTACTTGGCAGTTGCAACATGGTTCTACCTCCGGCTGCCGTTTATTCGCAATATCTTTTTGCGGTGGTGACCTTTGGTCATTCCCCTTGTTATTTTCTGCCACGTATTTTCGAAATTTCGCATGTTGCTCATTTTCTTCTTGCGCAGTACCATTCTGCGACTTCTTTTGGTTCAGCAGTGCCTGTTGAATCTTCGCATTTCGTTGTGCGCGTCGTTGCGCTAACACTTCTTCGCTACAATACGGTGACCTTTCGTTTTGCTGTACTTTTTGCATTGTCGCGCTACCGTCACGACAATTCCCACTCGCAGTACCATTCTGCGATGACCTTTGGCCCCGTTGCGCGTTTCCTCTCGCAGTACCATTCTGCGGTGACCTTTGCTTTTGCTGCTGTGACGGTATCCGTATAACCGCTCCATTTTCTTTTTGCATTGACGGCATCCATATAGCCGTTTCATCTTTTTTTTGCAATGGCGGCATCCATATAGCCGTTTCATTTTGCTGTGACGGCATCCATATAGCCGTCGCCCTTGTCACGTTCACTACAGTACCATTCTGTAGTGGTGACCTTTCCGTTTCTTTTTTATCCGGTGGTTTAGGGTCGGGGCGATCAGTAGGTTCACCGGCGCCTACTGATCTTGCCCGTTTCCCTGAACTGGCGTTCCACCTTGTTGCGCGTCTTGCACATTCCCTTGCACGTTTCCTTGTTGTTGTCCAATATCATTTGCCGGGTTATAATTCTGTCCGCCTCCATTATTTTGGCCACCACCTTGTTGGTAGTTTCTTGGCCACCTCCGTTTCCGCCACCTCGGTTGTTTCCGCGGCCGAAGCCTCTGCCCCTTCCTCTGAAGCCGCCGCGGCCGAAGCCACCACGGCCATAGCCGCCATTCTGGCCACCGCCATTTCCATTTCCATAGTTGCCGTTTCCTTGCTGATTCTGGAAGTTCGCTTTCGCCTGATACCATTGTGTAATCAGGTCATATCCACTTGCCACCGCTTGGCGCCAACCACCGAGGTTGCGCAACCGTTGCCATTCTCGGAAGGCAAACAGGTTCGGGTTCTGGTCCGGAGTTGTGTTGGCGAATTTGCACCCTTGCGTCTGGTGGTTTCCGTAAATGCAGTGCTGACACATCTGCACACCGTTTGCCACCCATCCGTCGATCAACTGGAACTTAAATTCCGTTCGTGACCCTTGTTGCTGCTGGTAATTGTTCTGATTTCCTCTATTCTGCTGAAGGTAGCCTTGACCTTGACCTTGACTTTGACCCTGATTCCGGAAGTTTCCTTGGCCTCCGTTCCAATTTCCGTTTCCATATCCGTTTCCACCGAAATTTCCGTTACCCACTCCTTGTTGTGGTAACCCAATATTCAAAGGGGCCACGTTCTGTGGTGCCGGCGGAGCCACATTCTGAGGTACCGGTCTCACTCGGGCCGCCGCTGTATTGCAGCTACCATTGCGTACGTAAGTGGCTGTCCCGTCTGGCTGTCGATAAAGGTCACTTCTTTGGTGACCTCTTGAACTGGAGCATCTCTTCGGTATTCAACCGGCTGCTGCACTGATGCTGCTGCCATTCTCTGTTGCGGCACGTTTTCAACTTGGCCTGAACGAATCGTCACGTAATCTTGATTTCGTTGACCTTTCGGCGCCTTATATTTTTCTTCTCCAGCTGACCAATGTCGGAAAAAGTCTTTAATTTCGGTCGGTGTTCTGCACTGTTGCTTGCGCAGTGCCTTATAAAAATCACTATCCACTCTGCATCCTTCAATCAGGAAACCGACTGCTTGCTTTTCGGTGATAATCGTTTCGCCTTGTATTTCAATATCGCTTGATAAAACTGATCGAGTGATTCTTTTCCGAGGTCAAATTTTCTTGCCATGGCTTCTCGTAAGCCAAGGACTTCTTTATCGCGGTCGCCATATTCATCCTTAAATTTGTTCATCCATTCTGTCACCGTATACTCTGTTTCTTCCTGGAGTGCAATTTCTCTCTCTCCTTCGAACCAGGTTTTTGCGGGTCCTTTCCCCGCGCTAGATATTTCAATCAAAATCTGATCATCGGTGAGTCGGTAGGTTCGCTGCGTATCCCTGACCAGTTGTGTCCAGCCATTAACTCCATCACGACTTCCATCAAAGGTCACTAATGTTGTTTTGCGGCCCATCGATTTGAGCGCATTCGCCAGACGTTGTGTCGGGTCCTCGTCTTCGCCACTGTCGTCGTCATTTTGATTTCGCCTCGCTTTTGCGTAGCGGGATTTCCTTGGGCGCTCTTGCCGGCTGGATGGTTCGTCTCGTCGTCCTTCATCGATAAAGACATTCGTTTCAATATTCGGGGGAAATTGGGAGGGATCGCCATGACTCGTGTGCGGATAGCCTCCTGATGGTGGTTCTTTATCATCTTTGGCCTTTTCACCATCTCGTTCCATTTTCATACTTCCTTTACCGGTACCAGTTCGTAGCGGCATTTTGAAGTGGAAGCTTTTGCCCGTGCCCGTTTCATGTGCCTTACTATCTCTCTTTAATTCCACTCTTTCCGTTTCTGACTCTTCGGCTGCTGCTTTCAGCTGATTCTTCGTCTGGGTGAGCTCACCCTCCCCTGTCATTATCGTTTGGGTCATATCGATCAGCTCCGTGTTGAGTTTGATAATCTCTTGTGTCTTCTGATGGACAGTTTGTTGCCACTCCTTGTCTTTCAGTTCAAGCGCTGTGACCTTTGTGTCTAGGAGGCGTGCCTCGTGCTCCCACTTCAAGCCTTGTTCGGCTAGTGTCTTGGTAGTTTCTTTTAACTCGCTGATCTCTTCAGTGACCTTTTTGTCATCTTCTTTCAACACCTTAATCTCTTCCATCACCTGTTTGATCTCGTTGTTCAACCGTGCGCCTTCGGTGGCTGTAAGGTCTCGCAGATCTTTAGCCACTTTGACGGCTTCGTCAACTCTTCTCTGATGATCATATGATTCCTTCTGGAGGGTCTCAATTGTTCTCGTCTCGCAGCTTCAGGTCGTTCCTGAGCTTAAACACTTCGTTAGTGTTTGTCAACAGTCGCTGCGTGGCTTCCGCGGGTTTGGTTGTATATTCGTCTCTCATCGCTTCCGCTTCAGTGACCTTTTGTTTCAGGTAGTCACATTCACCCTTCAGTTCGGCTAAGTGCCGTGACCTTTCCGCTGATTCTTCCGACATACTCTCATTAAGGTCACTGACTGCAAGATGACCTTCCATTTTACTGTCATCTACCATTTTCAGATATTCATCCGCCAATTCCTTTTGTCGTTCGTATTTAACTTTCCAACCATCTGCAGCACTTTGGAGGTCATCCTGTTGCTGCTCCAGATCGAACAGGCGGTTCGCAAGTGTTGAGAGTCTTTCCCGATATTCCTGTTTCCGCTTATCCGCCTGACGCTTGTTGCTTTCAAGTTCGTTTTCCAATTCACTGACGCGTTTCCTCAGAGTTGACGTAGGGCTGTTTGATGACGGTGGTCGTACGTTGATGACCTTTCCTGTTTTTGTCCGTTCAATGAGGTGCTCGGGTACTTCCTTGAAAGGTCATGCCTTCAGCACGGTCAGCTTCTCTTATCGCAGTTTGGAACGACATATTCATCGTCGTTTCATCATCCGTGAAATACGATCCATTCGATTCATCTGACACCATTGGAGTTGCCCAAAGGTCATCAGCTGCAGTCTTATCATTCAGTGAAAGGTCAGCCAATCCCAGTTTAGCCAGTTTCTCTTCAGTGACCTTTGTGTTTCCCTCTTCCATTTGAGCCAGGTTCACATTTTTATCCTGCTCATTCGTTTCGCCAATGGTAGCACCCCGCTGTCATGCTCCAACTGCTTCCGCTCCTTTCTCTGTGGGTTTTTCTTCTTCGGTGACCTTTGCTTGGTACACCGATTTACCTCCCGCCGCAGACGCGGCGGTATGCTTCTGGTCATCGCTGGAGCTTTCCTGATTGATGACCGCCTCGAGCGCCTTCTGATAAGTGCTATCAGAGCCTCGCGAATCTTCTCGAATGCTTTGGGCGCTCCAGTTCTCCTGAGTCTCATGTCCAACTGGGCGTGAATAGGAGTGCAGATCTTTTCTGTACGGAATACGTGCGCCTTGCTGTGAGCTTTCACCAACTAGCCAATCCCGTAATTAATAACGGTTTTTCTACCTGTTAACCGTCCGTTCCACGGGATAGTGATCCAGATGATCCAATTTCTTCTCCACAATCCGTTCCCGCGTTGCCGCTATTCCGTAGCGGTTGTGCCGGACGCTTTTTACCTGCTACTGTGCCGGCTGACTGCCGTAGCAACAGTAGTGCGCTCTACTACCAGTCTGGGGGAGTCTGATCTGTTTATCCGTGCGCCCCTTTCGGCGCTTCGGCTCTTGTGCCCCACGGCTTAGGCTTCGCTGAAGCCTTGCCGAGTAACAGTGACACCAGTGTGGGTCTTCGCTGAATACTCCACACCGAGGAACACTGTCGCTGAAACTCTTGCACTCTTGCACAGCGATGGAACAGCACAGGTCTTCGCTGAAGACACTGTACCGAAAACCACGGCTGGATCCGGATCGATGGGGGAATTACACCGCTTGTGGTGTTGCGCTTTGCTGTCCGTACAGACCTGTGCCTTACTGGTCACGTCAAATAACACGTCAGATAACAGGCCAGTTTTGCCTGACAGTTCAAATTGGAACAAATCAACTCAAATCAATTCAAATCAGAGAACCGCTGTCGGCTCTGCTACCATCTAATGATAGATCATTGTGATCTATATACGGCAACCAGAACAGAACTGATTCCGCGTAGTGAGCAATGCTACCTGTATTGCGAACAGCGAAATAACACGCGATGCCGCGTAGCTAATTGCTAACTTTTAATATTGAAAGTCTGGACTGCAGAAAATCAACACTGATCGGCGCAGCTCGATCGTAAATCGTAGAGCCAAATCCACACTGTGCAGCACGTGCACTATGCCGCGCCCACTAACAAACGCAAGCCAATCATAAGCGAGACACAACACAGACACGTAATCCGATGGCGTAGCGCCTAGCGCCACAGGCGTGAACGCTAGTGATCCCTCGCCTCACACCCGGCTACGTCGTTAGATCCGCGTAGGCAGTACCACTGCACCACGGCGCAATACGTTGAAATCCTTTGAAAGATTTTTGTCGCTGTACGTGAGCCGCTTCTCCGCTCACACGGGTTTTCTTGCGGATTTCACGGATCACTTGCCGGAGTTTTTGATCCACATCAAACGCTCTCAGACTGGTCACCAGAGCACCAAACTTAGTCAGAATTGTGGCAACAATTGCCCACTGCCCTTTAAAGAATCTGAGCAGTTCATTTGCGTGCCCGTAAGTGAATGCATATTTTTGCCCATGGTGATCGCTCTCCGTCAACTGCTTTGTGGATTCTGATGTTAATCCCAATTCGTAAAGCAGCGAATAAGATGATGCAAATTCTTTTTCCTTGCAAAAAAAAATTAAAATTCACCTTACCAGGGTTACAGGGTACTTTTGTGTTTAAAATGATTAGCTATTCAGATGCCGCTACGCAAAAATATTCTTACTTCGTGCTTAGGTTTCTTCCGTAGCGGCTGTTCACCATCGGAGCAGTCATCCATGATGGACTGGCTGTGGGGCAAATCCTGTTCAGTACGAGAGCAGTCGCGAATTCGGAACAAAGACTTGACGTGCTGTACAGATAAGCACGGCTCCACAATCGTCGCAGTCTGCAACCACAGTCAATCTGCGTTATCTCCGTATGTGGCTGACTAGCAAGTAGATATTTCGAACTCAGGCTTACAAATTCGACAGATCGGCTCACAGTGCCTCACACAGCGGATACCTACATACAGTTGTATGCTTCCCTCGGAGTTTGCTAAACTTTCGGTTGCTGCTCCCGATCTGAATAGGTAAACTAATCAGAGCCACGGACGTGCTCCGTGGAAAACGTGGCCACCAAAAACAGCGTTAGTAAGTTCTGACCCTTATAAACAACAATTAGAAACTAAGGAAAGCTACGAAGTCACAAAGACCACAAAAACGAAATTTTGGTTTCCCAAAAAGCTTGCGAGTTATCTGTCACGCGGAAGCGGGCAAAGGTGCGCCCACCGCTGCTCGAGACTTGTCACAGTCCAAGGGCAAGGGCTGATGCCTTTGAGAGTGGTACCAGTTTTTCCCGCCCCGAACCACCCGCCATGGCCAGCAAATATTTGATCTTTGCAGAATATATGGACATACAACGATGATCCAGGTGTAAAGTTGTAATCACAAAGCGTAGCGATAGTTCTCCGTAAGCGACCCGACTTGGACCACAAGGCACGCGAAAGCGGTTCACAAGCTCAGCGCTCGCCGCTCTATACAGGCTGTCGCGCCTGGACAGTAGTGGCAACCGCTTCCGTGCTGCGGTGTGCGCAATTGCGCCCCGTTGCCCGCTTTACGCGACTGTGTTTATTAGGATTATCAGCTTCTGCTTATGGGGAAATTTTAATTTTGATTTTTTGCTGCTTTGGTTTTTGTCAACTTTGTGACTTCGAAGCTTTCGTTAGGTCTGACGTTGGGTTGGAATTTTGTGGCAAATAATATTTGAGTAAGTAAATGTCTTTCACGCCTGTTGAACCCCCTTGATCGTTGTTCTTCTTGAAATATCCCGTTTACCCTGCATCCAGTCCGTGGTACTGCATTTCTGACTGGGTACGCACGCTGTGGAGTTTCTCGATTCGAATGATTATCTTCGGGCCCGTTAGACATATCTGGATTGCCAGCAGCAACTGACAGTCGTGAACTTGTGGTGAATTGCAGGGAAAACATCCAACTGTGCCACGATGCGCTCTCGGCCGCTGTGTGAGCCGATCTCTCGGATTTGTAAGCTCGGTGTTGGAGTTCTCAGAGAGATTCGGTAGAGAACAGCGGAGGTAACGCAGATTGGCTCTGGTTGCAGATTGCGACGATTGTGGGACGTTTCTGGAGGAGCCGTGCTTGCAGCATGCTAAATCAGTCACGGATAAACCCGTCATTCCTTACGCTGTAGCCAGCCTTCCGGACGTTCTGTATTTGGACTGCCCGGATTTAGCGTGGTCGTCTCCTTCGCTCGACGGTAGGATTATTTTCAGTTATTTTTACGATAGCATTAGGCTGTCTACACTCTACAGAGAGTACAATTGTCGTGGTCGCTAATATCGTTCGTTTAATTCGTGCATCATACTTTTGACTGTTCGACTGCATACTTTGATTTTCTGTAGTTTTTAATAATTTGTAATTCAGTTACAAATTATTAAAAACTACAGAAAATCAAATACAATTACAGTATTAAATTGTATATTTTTTTTCTGTAATTTTTGATAATTTATTGCTTATAATGATATGATTTAGAGCTGTATGATTTATTTTCCTATATTTTCTTATGATTTTAATTTTTGCTTTGGAGAGTCATTTCGGTACGTGCGAGCAGAGAGTCGCCACGTATTTTTGGGAAGTCTTGTTGTTCTGATTTATTACTTATGATTTGTTTAGAGAAAGTCGTGTTCGCCCGATCACCTCTTGCCTCCAACACAATTTTCGGTCCGCTGGTGGGATCCTTATCCGACACGAAACCAGCGCAGTTCGACTTTGTATGTGGAAGTGCCGGGAAAAGTTCGATTCGTTATTTCCAGCTGGAGAGCCACGACACGTCGAATTGGATGAAATTCGTCCGGTTTGCAGCCACTCCCGAGGAACAAAATGTGGCCGTTTACGAGGTACTGCTCCGGAAAAATTTTGAGCAAACGATAACTGCGAAAATTGATGCATCTCATTACCAACAAATATTATATTTTTAATTTTATGCTGCTTCTTAGAAATCTCACTCCTCACTCTGTCGTGCAGTTTTTTTTAAATATTTTGCCTTCAGGTTTTCAAAAGTTAACCAATGGGATGTGTTGAGTAAGCAGGTACTGCAGTTTTGATTGATTTTGAATTTGTGTTCAGTAATTTCGTTTTTTTTCGTACTAATTGCGTTTTGGATCAGTCTGTAAGACGATCATCAGTAAATTAATGAGGGTTTTGTTGTATTGTTTAGGCCGAAAGGAGCGATCAGGCTGCCAACTGTGCCAGCAGCGTAATCTTCGTCACAACGAGAGCCATTGCTGAACATGAGGAATTGAAAATCGGATATTCGGTTGATTATGCCAGAATTATCGAAGATTTAAGCGGGAAATGCGTTTATAAAAAAAGGCGTAAGTGCTGCACCATTGTACAACGCATTATCAGTGGTTGGCTGTTGTTTTCTCGAATGTTTTTGTTGTTTTATAAGTTTCTTTTGGTTTACGGTGCAAGTGCTAGCTTTAGCATTATTATAAGAATCTTATAAACCTTTTCACTTTAGCATTATTATAAGAATCTTTGAAGTAGGAAATGAACCAGTTCAGTGCGTTAAGAGATTAATTATTACTTGAATTATGCCTTCAATATCACAACTTAGGGTTTGTTAATTAATTAATGCATTTTGCGTTTTGTTAGTTAATGAGCATAGCTTCTAGATCCTGATTCACGTTTAGGCTTTAAAATAGACAAGTTTTTGTAATTGTAGCTGGAACTGTAGAATACGTCGTACGACAATCTGCGCAGACTTTCCGAAAAGCTCCAGCATCAGCGGGGAAGAATGTTGTGGCTGCTGCAAAATCTTCCACACGAGAGGTGTTTTCTGTGCCCCCCGCGAAGCGGCCTCGACTGCGGCGGTCAGACCACCGCACAGCCGACCCACCGGATAATGCAATGGATTTATTGCCATCCTCAGCGCCCATCGACGACGGCCTTCCCAGCGACTTCCAGATTCCCCCAGAGCTTCCGGTTGCGGACGCCGCCGATGGTGATGATCGTGAGGATTCCGTGGAAAGCGATCCGTTGTGGGCGCCCAGCGACGAGTCCAACGCATCGGAGACAAGTGACGGTAAAAAGGACAAATTTTATCGTAGTTTAATAGTTCTTTTGTTTTACATCCGCATACGTCTTCTTTTCCTGATACCAAATTAATTTTCAATTTTGTGAATATTTATCCGAAAACTACCACTGCACACTTAATAAGTTGCACAGAATTGCTTTAACTACGGAAAATCGTTTAATGATTTAATAATGACTATTAATGACTGTGTAAAATAACTGTCTTTGTAGATCGACGACGATGAATTTAATTGATTTTTTATTTATTGTTAAATTTTTTTTGAATTTAATAAAAATAATCAAATCTTTTAGTGGAGTTTTATTTGTTCGTTAGCGTGGCGAGGCTCTGAAACTTGAAATAAGATAAATACCTTCATAATGAGCACGTTTGAAATTTTATACAGAAGAGGAAGAAGAAAAGCCCAAAACAAAAACTCCCGCAAAACCTCGCAAAAACGGCTACGCGGAGAAAATCGCCAAGCTTCAAACGAGTTATCAGGTTCAAGAGACAAGCACATTGTCCAGTACCTCCATCAAACCTCGATACCGCTCCAACGGCTACGACGAGAAGATCGCCAAGCTGAAGCAAGCGGCCGCCGACAGTGAAGCATCCAGTTCCGGGAACGTCTTGGTGTTGTCGAAATCCCAGCTGCCCTTCGACACCGGACATGGAACAGTCCTGAACCTGTTGCCGAGCTCCGGCAACGGGTTGCTGGATGCGGTGATGGCGCCCTCCCTGTTCGTCAATCCCCCTGCGGAGGAAGCAGCGGAGACCGCGAAACCGAAGGTGCCGCGCAAACCGGGGCGGCCGCCACGGAATGAACCGCGCCCGCCCGTGGATGACAACTGCCGGGTGTGTGGAGAGAAACTCCTCTCCGGATCGCGGATCTCCCATATGTGGAATCAGCATCCGGAGTATGTGCAGGTGTACTGGAAGTTTGAATGTCCGGAGTGCTTGAAACGACTACCGACCGGGTCGATGCTGAAACAGCATGTGCAGAATGTAAGCATTTTACAAGCAGTATGGGTTTGTTCCAGGAAGTGGGCAAACGATATTCTGTTGCAGATACTTCCAGGCATTGTTTTAATTCAAATATAAAGTTGTACTGGTAGATTTGCCCGTCAGACTCCGTCTACAGTCTTCAACGGTATTTACAGTTTTGAATTTTTTTATATAATTGTTTACTTTTTGTAAAAACGTTCCTTACCTGTTTGAGTCCCTTTCAGGAATTTTTCTTGTTCTAAGGCACATTTATCCGCATACCGTTAGTTCAGTTTTATGACATTTTCGTACAATGGAGATATGCATTGGAAAAAATGTTTTGCGGGAGACGTTGCTGTTCCTCACGGCATATTTAATTGTTAACTTGGACTGAGTGGAAACTGATTTAAGGAGTAGAACTGAAGATGGATTTAAAAATATCGCCCTTGGTACTCATGTCAGTTGCACTTACATGTGATATTTATGGAAGTACGTTCGCAGTTGATATTTATTTTGCTGATATGGGTGTATGTGTATTTTTTTTAAGAAAAAACCAATATTGTCTTTTGCTCGTAGTACCACGCGAACCAACTACGGACGGTAAGCGAGGCCGACCGGACATCCGCCCTAGAGTACATGCAGCGGATGAATCGTTACCACTGCTTTTGCGATACGTGCGGTGTGCGGTATCCCACGGTCGCGCTTCTGGATCTGCATTCCGCGTACTGTGAAGCCACTGACACCAACACCGATAACGGGGAACGCCAGTGTCCCGCTTGTGAATTTCTGGGGGACAGCGCCGAGACTCTCCTCGAGCATTTGTCCGAGCACGCGATCAGAGACGGGGATCCGAATCCATGCCTGTTGTGTGGCTGTTCCGCAAAATTTCCAGGTTAGTTAAAACTGAGTTTGATCATCAGATAAAATAATGGGATTCGGAGGGATTCCGGTTCTGTTCACGTTAAATGAGGCTTGATCTTTTCTTTTTTTGGGGAATTTGGTTCACATAGCAGAACGAACGTCTGTGCTGGTAAAATACACTAATTAAAAGAAATGAAAATCTAATTATAAATTGAACATTCGCGCATGTTAAACTTGTTCGATTTCGTTTCATTTTTTTGTGCGTCGCGCAGGCAGAACCGGTTGGCTTCTCAAGTGTACGAGCAACTGTATGATTTCAGTAATTTTTTAAACTAAATTTTGGTGAACGAAGACCCTAGCATTCGTTGATTAAAATTTTTAGTTTTCAGATCTTCATGAAATTTCAGTAACCGAACAGCAATAAATATTAGCAGGAATACAGGATAATTTGCAGAAATTCATTATAAAGAAATTTTGCGATGCGTCTCTTAATTGTGCGGATTAAAATTGTCATCCATTTACACATTTTTTATTTAACCGTGATGTAGGCGCACACTTCCGTACCCGTCATCCGGAAGAATACGAGTTCATCACCGCGGGCCTGCCCTTCGAATGCGACCAGTGCGGGAAGCGGTATCCCAACGCGGGCACCCTGGCGCACCACGCCGCCAGTCACAGCGGCGCGCAGTGGCAGTGTATGTACTGCATCCAGCACTTCCCCACGGCCAACGCCCTCTCCAAACACAATGCCGCGGCGCACGTCGTGGACGGCCAGTATCCCTGTCCGCGCTGCGACAAAGCGTACGAGACGTACAAACAGGTGCGCAAGCACTTCACCAACTACCACGATCTGGCCAAATCCCGCTACTGTCCGCTGTGCGATAAGTTGTTCGACAGTTACGCCATGCTCAGTTGTCATATGAGCAAGCATCCAGCGAAGGAGCGGGGCGTGAGGCCAGTCACCCGATTCCTGGGGAAGAAAAACGGGAAGGAAAAGCGGTGGAGTAAACTGGATAAAGTGTTGTTGGCGGCTGATGATGATAGTGACTGTGTGGAGCTGGAGCAGCCGGAAGCGATGGAAAATGAGAAATTGGACACGGTACTGTCGTCGGCCGACTCGCAGCTGAAAAAGTTAGACAAGATCCTGGCAGCGGAAGGTACGGGGAAGCCGGATCCTAAGCGAGGATCGAAATTGGATAAGCTACTTTCAGTTAATTAAAGGTAATAGGAGTTCTGTTTTCTATTTCTGCATCTTTGTTGAATACATCGCGTATTACCTTATTGTTAAAGCTCCTACTTTGTCTGTTCTTGATATGCGTGACTCAAGGCACCGGCATGTTTGGATTGAATCAAAAACAAAATGGTTAAGATAATGATTTTTATAGTTTCGACTTTTGTCAACGTATGACATTGTCTCGGCCGTTTTGTCTAATGATTATCGATTCTCAGCTAATATACAGAGTGGAAACCAGATTTTGTGGCAACAAGGAATGACAAAAATTTGTGTTTTAAAACATTCCAATTTCCAACTGATACTCAAAGGGTTCGGTTAGTTTAGAGCCTTCGTAAAGAAGATTGCAATTGATTAGCCGCTATTATAACTGAATAATTAAAATTGTAAATATTGTTTAATAGCTTTTATATATATGTTTGCAGTAATGAGTCATTTATATACGCAGCTTAGCAGTTTTAAATCTACCAAAGGCGTATATACTGTATAATTCACTGCAAAATATAATAAAACCATGCAGCAAATAGGCTGCCACGAGAAGATTACTTCAGATTTTTTGAATTTTATTATTACTCGATACACTGCAGTCTGCGCATTTCCCTGCACTCGCTTGTAAACAGGAAAGCCGGGAACCCCGCCTTAAAGATCTAGTTTAGGAACTCGCGCCGGAAACGAGTAACATATCCAAGAAAGTTATTCCTGCACCTTGACTTACGCATTATCGATCGACAGGCTCGTATACGCTGTATAAAAGAGACACGCCGGTTTCGAACAAATACTGTAGCCGGATCCGCTTCTTGGTTGGCAACGTGCCTTGCAGCAAGATGTCCAATAGTTCACAATTTACCTACAATTTCACCAATTTGCGAATCCACAATCAATCATATTTCTCTCTTCGTACAATATATTCTTCATCGTTTTCAGCATGGGTGTACTTCTGTTTAGGCGTGACTGTGCTTGAAAGCGTACTCTTAGTTCTTTTAATCGCTTCAATTCTCATTCAAAAAAATCTCCGCAAAGGTTCCCACTTACAAATCGTTCATTTATGCTGTATCGAGCTTTTCCAGAGCGGCATCCTCCGCCCAGCCCTTACCTTATCCGTCTATCTCCCCGAATGGCAGTTGACCTTACCGGGATGTCAAATCGTATATTATTTATATATGCTATCGATAGCCGCCGGCAACTGGGCCATGTTTTTACTGTCCATCAACCGCATGTGCGCCGCGCTCTGGCCGGTCAGCTATTCCCGTTTCTGGAACCGGAAATGCATGATCGCCATGCTTATCGTCAACTGGATAATCGCGGTCGCGGTTACGTGGCCATTTATAACCGCGGATCTGATGGTGTCGTATAATTCGCTGCCGTGGGAGTTGTGCGATGTACGTGATCGGCTGGATGTAAAGGTCAAATACGTCCAGGTGGTCGGGATCGTGCAGACCATGATACCGACCTTCGGGGTGCTGGGTGCCCATGGGGTTTTAGCGACGGGGTTGTTGGTGAGGCGGTGCTGGAGGAAAAAGGTCGCTGGGGAAGAAAAACGGTCGTATACGTCCGGACCGTCGTCGGATGATGCAGCTAATAATCCGACGAGGTTGGCGAGAAGGGTGATGATGGCGCGAATGCTGTTGGCGTCTGCGCTGTGGTATATTGCCTGCTACATGCCGATTGCATTAAGCGCGATGCTGTTTCCGCAGCGGTTTGGTCAGAATCCGTTGACGTTTCTGTGGATCCGTGCGCTAACGTACGTTGGAATCCTGGGAACACCGGTAAATATCGTACGAATATTTTATTAAGATTGATAGTTATCAACTTGTCATCATACGTGTATATGTTGTTTACTTTAGGTGACCTTTTTCCTTTTGTGCAAGTCATACCGGGACGGTCTCAGGATCTTCATCCGAACTGTGCAGTGCTTATTATAGATTAAAATTTACATACAGCACGGAATACGGATGACCGTCAATTGCACGATGTAAAACGTATAGTTGATGCAAGCCTGTATCTGAATTTCATCCTAAAGACGCTACCATTTTGTGGTGTATCCCGTAATGATGACGGTAACTGAATTAATACTGTCACACGTTAGGAAATTTTATTATTATGAAATTCTGCCGGCCGGCTAATTTACTCGTACACTCGTAGTACAATACATCCGACTCCTTCATGACCATATGGCTTTCCTAAGCAAACTTCCTTAATTAATCAAGCACCTTTTCTCCGGTTTTCTTCGTGAATATCTATGTATAATTATAACCAGAGCTTCCTGTTTTCCTCGTTGTCTGAGCAGACAACGGATCGGAAGTACTAAACTAATCCTATCAGAAGCTCGATGTCCCCATCATTTCCTGTTGTACGAGGACGAGCTTAGTACATATGATAGACAAAAAAACTAGCGAGAGAATCTGATAACCATGCCCGGCCCGTGCAACACGGGCAACCACCCAGGTCTGTCAGTGCTGGTAAATACATCACATTTAAATGATTTAATACAAATAATCACCCCAGTAATACCGCACGCTTTATTTCTTACAGTAAAACTTTGACTTTGTAGAACCACATGTGAAATTTCAGAGTACTCACTTTTTACCCATTCTGAAAGATTTTTCAATTTTAGTCGGAGTATTTGTCACATCGCTAAGTCCGCTACGAGTGTTTCTTTTTCGCTTATTTTTCTTCATCAGTTTTTCTGCTTCCCGTTGCTCGAGCGCTGCGATTACTTTACTGTCAGTCGCAATAAGCCCTGCTTCGGCGCGCAGACGAGAATCTTTAAGTTTTCTCTTTTTCTGAGGACGTCGCTGGCAGGTTCCTCCACACAATTCTCACTCAACGGTAGGCCCGAAACAACGCTGATACTCGTGAAAGAAATCTCCATCGCAGGTGCAGAAAACAAACTGGCAGGTAGCCGTACGTCGGTGATATTCTCAATTTCTCATCGTAGTACATCTCGCCAGATGAATCTTTATATTTAGATGGTAATTTTATAACATTACTATCAAGAGATTGGTTAATTAATGTCAGTCACTGGTTACTGGAAATTTTGCGGAGAACCAATTATAAACAAAGTTATAAAACCAAAACAAAACTCGCATTTAAATTTCAATACGAGTGTGCGTTACAGTAAATAGCAGACCGTGTTCAGCTAACGGCTGCGTGACGGCGCGCGGCTACCGCCAGCCTAAGGTGGCTGACAGTGTTGCACAGCACGCAAATGGTTATCAGATTCTCTCCCTAGTTTTTTTGTCTATCACATGTACTAAGCTCGTCCTCGTACTCTATAGCTAAATGATCAACTTGTCAGCTTGAAAACTTTTTCCACGAAACTATACCGTATAATGTCCGGATCATCTCACACGCTATCTAGCCTGCAAATACTGCAGGAACATGCCAGGGTCTAGTACAGTACATATCTATATTTCTCTTATTTAATGTAATGTTGGGATTATCATGCTACAAGAAAATACCGGCTCACTACGTATCTGTACATCCTGTAAAGTATTTTGTTAACTACCGTACTACGCACAAATAATGGTTAACAAAACGCCGGGCTGCAAAAGTCAATTCACGCAAACATTTTCACAATTTAGCCAGATTTCCCACGCCTGGTTAGAAACGTAGAAATCGATTTGTTTTAATTACATAGAAGCATTTAAATAAATGACGGTTAACATTACACCATAACATGAAAGCGGGCAGAAATTGTACATGACTTCCTCCACTACCGAATCAAAAATTTAATCATTCAATAATGCAATGCTGTTACATCAACTGTCGGTGCGCACAAGACGTCATTTCAGTATTATCAAGAGCCGCCTCCACAAAATAAAGCCATGCGACTTGCATTTCCTTCCTGGACATATGGTCATTTATGAAAGATTCATAACTATTCTTTGCTCGCATTACTTTACGAAGGTCTATGGCTCTATGCCATTAACTGATTGGTTTGAATTGTTTCAAAGTACGTACAAAATGACGATAATGCAGTGCGAAAAGACTGGTAAAATGCTTTATAACTTTGCGTTTTTTACTTACTAGTATCTTTTTATCTTTTTGGTAATTTGTTTACTGAAGCTTCTCAAAAACTAACAGCCCTTAAATGTCGGCATCTGGATGCAGTGAAACGTGTGCTTTTGAGCCAACTGAAATTATATACAAAAATAAAAAGTACGCAATTAACAAGCAGGTACTGAACAGCGCTTCACGGGTTTATCATCCCACAAAGCAGGTAACAACATGAAGTGAAATAAAACAGAATTCAGAAATAAAACAGAATTCAGAAATAACAAACTTTGATACGAACACTGAGCATCCGGCTAAAAAAGCATTCCTTCATCGAACTTTATCGTTTCCTCCGCCTTCACGGGCAACGATTTGCCCGCCTTCTTAACCGCCGCTTTCCTGCGCTTCTTGTTATTCGGGCGGGAATCATCCGAATCCGTGCTGTCCAGATTCTCCATCGTGAATGTGGGTTCGGACACCGTTTTCGGGGCAAATAATGGATACTGCACTGAACAAGCTAACCGCTGATGACACGATTGTAAACCGGCTTGCGATTTTTCTAATTTTAGCCGCTTTTTGTGCGATAAAAATTCCACCGTTTCTTTCACGTAGCTATGATCTACAGACAGAAACCACAGATTCAATAGTGGCAATATTTTCATAATTATTTTTAAAAATGCATATGATTTTTATTGCGTCTAGAGCTGTTACACAATAATTTATTAAAAAATAAATAAAAATTTTTAATTAGCGAATATCTACGATTAGCGAAAATTTAATTAGCAAAAATCAAAAATACTTAAAAAAATCAAATAAAACAAAAACTAAATTTTTTTTTAAAAAATAAACCTGAGATAAACGAAAATAATTTTCATCACTACAGAGACTTGTAAATTCTTGAAGATGAATTAGTATCACACCAAAAATGCAACACTATTTTAGTATTGGGTCTAAGATAAATACCAAAACTCACCGGGCCCAAACATCCCAATGCACACTTGAATTTTATTGTACAGGAGATCACTGTCATCTTTCTCCGCCTGACTAATAAGCCGGAAATGGTATTTGGGCCAAAAGCTATACGCATCCAACCAATACTCCTTCAAAGCGCTCAACAACTGCTGCTCACTACAACAACAAACCAACACAGCGCCGTCAGCACGTGAAATTAGTACAACTGTTCTGAATTTAATTTGCCAGTTCGACCGTACCTGTCGTCATCAAAATCAAAATTTCGTAACAGACGCGCTAAAGCCGTCCAACACAAGACGTTGCATTTCTGCTGCGGTTGGTTCAGTGCGCGGAATACAATGTGCAACATCTCCACCGGGCTGTCGGGACTCTCTACGGCACGAAAAACACGTAGTTAAAAACAAGCAAAAATGAAAATTCAAATTCTTTACGCGCACAGAATTTTAAAGAAGTAGTTCGTAACTTCACACAAGCTTCCACCACATGCCAAGGGCAACTACGAGAACCATTACACTACGAAGCCACCTACCACACAGACTTCTGCATTGCCTTCTACAAAGTTTCGACAATTCGAAATCCTTATCCGTACAAAATTGGAACACAGAATTACAACAAAGTGATCAGCGAATCAATATCGACATTTTATTTAAAAAAATCACTTTATAATTAATTTCACCTTGCTGAAGATAGTCCTGGCAGTACTGAGTCACGCATTTCCCGAACGGATCTATCTGTGCCAAATTCTGCAAATTGCAAAATATTGCAAAAACTGACGTTATTTATCCCTAGTTTTGAATAAACGGTACTAAAATCTGAAAAAAACCGAATGCGAGCATTCAGACATTTTGTACAAGAGAGAAAATGGACATTAAATAACTGTAATTCTTTAAAATTTATGTACAATCACGATATCTACGAAAAAGAAAGATTTGTTTACCTTAAGGAATGGCCATCGCAGTTCCGGTTCGTCGGGTTTATATTTCAGGTAGAAATCGATGATGTACGACAAAGCCCAGGGATTCAGGGGATTTTTCGCTGCATACTCGATTAGGACACTTTCCAGATAATCCACGTCGTTATATCTTTCCAGTATCTGTAAGTGTGTAACAATTCAAAGATTTCCTGGTGCGCTGTTAAAAACACAAATTATCCCGGCCTACCTCAATCAAAAACAGAACAAAATAACCGGCATTCTCCGTGGCTGTCACAAAGGTACGAAACATGCGACGGAATTCAGCGTAACTGAAATCCTCGACAATCTTCGAGCCGGGCTGCAGCAACTGATCCAGTAGCGCTTGACCAGACTCACTGCCGTTGGGGTTTTGGTCGTCTTCTCCTAACCGTTTGTCGCCTGAAACAAGCGCAAACCAGATGCACATAATCAGACAAGTGAAAATCTCGTTTACACTAGGAAAGGTTTCAAGCAAAACGCGATTTCGCACGTAAAGGAACAAGTCCAAAATTAGTGCTCTAAAAAGCGAGCAATTATTCCTTCAACATCATGGTATTAAGGAAATACAAAGGTAACATCAAGAAAATTGCAATTAAGAAAAAATTCACACTCAATAAGCCAATAAAAACTAATTTTATTATCAAAATTTATATTTATTCATTAAAAAGTACGGGTGCACATCAGATATGATATTTCCGTTGTCACTCATTTGTATGGATGAATAGAAATTTCGTAGTTTATAGTTTAAAACGGGAAATGCCAAAAAAAGAAAATATGGAGGAATGATCGAAATAAACTGCTGCACCTAACTCCTAAACAGTACAGTGGAATAACCGCTGACTAGCAAATAACGCAACAATTCCCCGCGCAATACCTTCTTGGATTCTGCCGAGCGGAAGCAGTGAAAACACAGCATCTTCCTCATCATCCTCCACCGGGGGCTTCCAGAAACCACAAACGGCTCGCGTCATCTGCAGCTGGGCGCGGGAATAGATCTCGTACTCCGCCAGCGGTCCTTTAAACATGCTGCGCATACACGGCGCCCACATTCGCTTCGGCATGTCTTTCTAACACAACATCCACATTTAATCCCCACAGAACACAAAAAGCATGCCAAAAACAAAGATTCAGAAATCACAATTCATCACCGGAAAATCATTTCCCAATTAAAAGTACGGTATTCCACCTTAATGTATTAAATTTAGCAGTGCAGCATTTAGGTAAAAAAACTCGTATGAATACTACTTCCAGTTTTTCGATAGCAGAGCAGTAAAAAGATTTTACTATTTGTGTACATATGCAGGAAATTTAACAGTTACCTCTAAAATGTCACGCGCTAGTTTGCTTTTTCCTAGTTTTTCCAGCAGAAAATACAGAGACATTCGCCGTTCATCGTAGTCCGATGTTTTGGTGAAATGCAGCATCCTAAGCAAATCAGTACAAGAGCTTAACGTATGTAATAATAATTTAATATTAATAATAATTTCAGATTGACGTTTTAATATCAAACCACGTACGAGTATTATGGTGAGGTTATTGTAATAATATTTTATTTCAGGATGACGTTATAGTAATAATTTCAAATGAATTTACTGGTGCGTAAATATTATTATTAAAACTTTATTATAAAAATAATAAAATATTAATTACGCACACACAGAATTGTGACTTACCTGAAACACTGTCGATAAATGTGATCCCCGACGTTGGGAGTGTTGGCCAGCACAACCAGAACGATCTAATCAAAACGATGAATGTGTCAAGCAACCAGCAGTTCACAGCTCAGAAGCCAAGAACGTCAGCTAAACGATGCAGTCTTCCAGCCAACCCACGTACCCTCCAGATCCAGGTCTCCTGCGTGAAGGCGGCCTTATGCAGCATCGATTCCAGGATCTTGAAGGCCAGCTTGAACTGGCGATGGGCGATGCAGTGGACGAGGATCTGACGGCATTTGCGCCAGTCAATCGGGCCGCGGAACACCATGTGTCTGCTGTACGCAGTTTCCTCCGCGTCCTCGGCGTCCACCATTTCACAGGCATAGAAAATCCTCTTGAATATATCAACCTAACCAACAAAACTGCTCACGTTTACTCCACGAAAAATAAGATCCTGTAACTGCGGAGTAGAGCGCACAGCTGATGGTCATAATCATAAAACAACAAAAAAACAGAAAGTCGTTTTCGAAAAATTGAGAAACTTTGATCAACCGAACAGCAGCACTACGATACCAAACGGAGGCGTAGCGAGGTGAGCGATTAGCGCTGCTGCACTCTCTGTTGCAACCGCCTCAGTGTCTGCAGACCGCAGAAAATGGAGCAGCTGCTGTTTCTGGCGTGTTGGTCTTTGTTTGCGTCTTTGAAACTTTGTGAACGTGAACTATTGCGTAATGCGTAAGTACTTCCCTCATGACTTTGGTCACCTGTTGAATGTTCACGACTACTTACCGTAAAATTATTATAACAACTGCCAGATACAGGCACAGTTTAGACATGTAATTGGCATACTTTTATATACAAGAGGCAAAATCAAATTAATACGGCTCAACTTCATGCACAAAAAAATGCGGCACACTACTGGCACAGTGCAGGGATCATGAAGGGTGTATTCGTTAAATGTTTGTGAAAACTGGATAGCATTTACGAAATTTTGAAGACAACTGCAAGTGCATAATTTCAAAACATTTAGTCCTGTACAAATGTGTTCTTTTAATTAGATGTTGCAGCTTGTCGCAGTTAATTGAATGATACTGCGGCGTCGTGCTTGAACATTTACGTCGCCGTTTTAAACAAACCACTGCTGCAATGCAGCCCGTGACTCCGTGAGCATGAAAAATTATGAAATAAGTAGTGCAACAACCACGGTCTTACTTTTAATTACCATTTGGCTAACATCCGGAAAACTACCAGCCCAATTATGGGGCGGCCTATGTCTTTGATTTTATGGAACCGCGCGTGCAATAAAAATATATATATACGTACCATATTGAAACAGCACTTATATAGATATAACATTATTTGCATAAAAAATTAAGTAAAAAACCTCCTATAGCTAAATTTTTCCAAACTACTGTAAATTTCCTTATTGGGGCAAGTAACTTGATGAAATTCAGGGTTATGTCCATCCAAGTTTCCTTTGATTTGTTTTTGAAATTAGCTGTATGAAAATAAACCTTTAGCACATCATAAACGTGATAAAAACATGAACCGTTGCCGGTTGCACATCTCCTAAAGGCATGATACACGTGAGATTTCACTGCCAGTCAAAGACTTGACAGAACCCGGCACTCGCAACACAACATAAACCAGCCCTCTCAACACCAAACGCCGGGTGCATGAATCGCAGTTTGTAATGGGTATACCAAACAATCACCACATTTGTAAATTGTTACCCCACACATCGTAAAACAATGTAAAAAGCCCCATCTGCAGCGGTAATGAAACGATTGATTTGTATCGTTTATCCTGTCAAACATGCGCGTGGGTACAGCCGCAACACCGGTAAAGTTCATACACAAATTGTCGATCCGGCGCTCGTACACGGCGCACTCTGCGGGAGAGTACACGTAAATGTCATCTGCGCCACGGCTGTCAGGCCATGTACATATGCACAGCTTGTCCATGTAATCAGCGGTGTAACATTCTTACGGGTCAAGGCCGGTTAGTACATAATACATTTTCCATGCCAGTCTACGATGGGAAATGGTTTTCGCTGCTGCGGCTGCGTGTGTCTGCGTGTCAAAAAACCTGCGACAAAAAATTACGCGCTTGGAGGAAAAAATACCAGTAAACTGTACGGTGTCCGCATTGGGTGACAAAAATGTTGGGGTCAGATGACACAAAAAAGCAGCCGGTCGGAATATGATTATGCATTCCATTCGAGTGGATTGTGTTTTTCTGGAGAAATTTGTGGAGTAACCGCTTTCATTGCGGTACTCGTATAAAAAGTATTCTAAAATTTTGTTAGTTTTTGCTGCGTCATAACGCTGATAACATCAGAAGCCGTTGCGCGACCAATAAGAAATGTGGCGTGTGTTACGTAAGCTTAAACCGCAGCCAGACAAAGGCCGCATTGACGACAAACAGCGCCCAGACTAAAGCGATTAAGCCCCGCTCTGCTAAAGATAAACAACACTTAATCATTGAGTAAATTGCTTATTTGACCTCCAAAACAACACACACTCGGTGGCAGTATTACGCGCGTCCAGCTGATCCCTGTTGTGGAGGATAACCACAAGACGCCAGAGACAGAAACGAGCATAACGGACCAATGAAGCGGAACTAAATTTGGGTTGATTGTAATGGCTGAACAGTGGCCGTGCGTCGTACAAGAATGGAGATTTGTGATACTTTACCTTCTGCTTAGATTTATTGTTTAATCGGATTTGCGCGCGCGAGATATACTTTTCTCTCTCACTCGCTCTCTCTGTCTCTCTGGCGTCTGCATTGCATCTCCGGCTGGCAAATGAACGAGTGGCACACTTTAAATATTTAACTCACTGCTACTGCACGTACGAACACACGGTCACAATTGAAAAATAATCGCCGTGTGTGTTTTACGATTTGTGTCCAGCAGGCAGCAGCTGAGCCAAAACTGGCTTTCGTAGAATACGGTACAACCACACATGCCAGCAGCGCGCGTTGCTCTTCTTCATCGGGTTTTGCTGTCTATTCAGAGCTGTATGTTTGACCAATATTACCCACACTCGACACACGTCAGTGTGATTTGTAAAGACAATGATCTCGCTGGTTTCACTTTTTTCTGCCGAGCGATATGGATGTTTATGATGCGGCCAGCTGCGTTTTGTCTGCGTGTTTGGCCGAAGCTGTATTATTGACGCGATCATAAACTCCGTCAACTTGCACTGCGCATTGATCAATGCCGGGATTATTTGCGTAATGTTAGAGTTTTGTCTCAAGTGTGGTCATTACGCCGGGTGCTGTTTTATTCGGGTGGAAAATTAAATTATGCGGATATTCATGATCGAGGTGTAACAGCACCGACAGCGTCGCTTGTCATCGATTTTTTAAAGCGATTTGTTATAACAGCGACACGGATTACATTATAATCAAAAATTTATTTATCGCTTGTTTGTCCACTTATCATCGTCATGATGCAACATGTAAAAAAAATATAAATTTGGACTACCTAATATATTTTAAGGAAGCGATTACAACTGAACAGTCAAAGCCAGTTTGCTTTTTATTTCGTGCCACTGCTCTACGATTTGCGTTGGGAATTATATTTCGAATTTTGTTAGCAAACGCGTTTTATCTAATTCACCATGCACATCTTCACGTGGCGCAAACGTAAAAAAGTCTTCCACCCGAACGGCGAGCTCAACTGGAACATTCTACTCCCCTCGTCCAGCGCCATGCCGGAGCGGAAGAGCGTCAGCTCGCCGCAGCTGAGCATCCACGACATCAACCAACTGCAGTGTCCCCGCCCGGAGAGCGGGAGCCCGTACTTCCTGCCCACGCGGCAACTGCGTCCCTCCTTCAGCCACCTGTTGACTACTTCGCCCGCGACAACGCTGGAGGAATCCCCGGTATCCTCGCCGCTGGGAGAGACAGCCACGGTCGGGTGTGTGTTGAGCACTTTCCAAACGGATGCCCCGATTAGCGGTAATCCGGCTACGGTGTCAGCCAAGCGCGTCCGATCAGATTGGTCAGTGTGGTATGGAAATAGCGGCAGTGTGCGCAGCTGCAGCAGCAGCAGTGGACAGGATAAGACGCCGTATGCGCGCTGCTCGAGTGCGGCGGAGTCGCTCATCAGAGAGAGTCCAGCTGATGGAGCGCCGGGTAAAAAAAAGAAATGTAAGTCAAGTGGCCTGGGCTATAATGGCTAAACAGTGTGTAATGGTAGATTGAGGTTTTTCGGTAAATGGTGGAAATTCTGTAAAGGGGTTATTTGATCTGCGGTCAACGGTTGTTCGTTCTTTGATTGTGCATTGTTGGTGTGGAAAACACAAGGAGGAAACTTTGCCGGTATATGATTATATTATATGCTTTTAATTATCTTCTTCGGTAACAGTAGATCGGCAACCAAAATATTTTCCTTTACATTAATGTTAAAAATTTAAATGAAATAATTGTATATTGCACTGCCTGTATGCTTAAACTTAAATTAAACTTATTTTCTGCAATTTGAAAAAAAGCATCCTAAGCTGATAGAATTATTTAGTCGCAGATATCAGGATCAGTTTGAGACTCTGCATTAAACGAGAAACAACCATTTAAGCTTTTTTACAAAAAAAGTTTAAGTTTGTGTATTAAATTTGTCTTTTGAAATCTTTATTCTGTCTAGCGTTGCTTTTCAACTGGATGGGAGAGGCTTGTAACGATGCCGTTTCACTACGATTGCACGTTGCTAGTCACGTACAAATTACAATGAAATAATAATACCTTTTTTATTACAGATTAAATTATGGGTTCGCAATATTTCAAAATGATACGAATTTTGATAAAAAAATTTAACAATTTCAGTTTCCCGCTTTTACCATTTGATCGAACTTGTTTCGATAAACTTGATCTGATATGTGCGCGTAATTAAAGTGTGCGTGCTTGTCCGCAATGATTTGCTAATTATGGGAAAACAATGTCGCTTGATGCATGTCATTAATTATCGTTCGATCCACTTGGTTGCATATTAAATGCTGTTTTACTGGCCGCTTTCTGAATGGATGTTTATTGCTGCTGACTTAATTTAAATCTGGCAGTTTTGATTTTCGGCACGCATCACCACCTGTTGCATCATAAACCCAAATCAACGATGCCATATATTTTTCCCCCCTGAAAGTGATTGATGCCGTTTAAAGACGCTTTTGCACCGCAATTTATGTGGCGTGTTTTTTCGCTGGTAATACAATCACATCACATGTGATGACAACAATTGATTATTGTTAGCTGTCGGTGTGTTGGCCGCTGCCGAAAGACGAAATAACGGTATAATCAGTAGCCGGTTGGCCGATGCGGCTTCTGTCGCGGCACTGGTCAGCGCTGTACGCTGCTTCAATGGTAATTGCCCCATACAGACCATGCTGACTCAAGTGTGACTTTTAGTGATAAATTATTTCCGGTGACCGCGAAAAAAAATTTCTCCGCCGGTTATGTGTGTGTACGTCAACTTCTAATGCGTTGACTTTTATGTAACGTTTTTGTAAGTGACAGATTAGATTGTCAGTACACTGAATACAGTAGAAGAGTTTTTTCTAACTTTATTTTTGGTCGGTCTTGCGGCAGAAGCAGCTGCTTCTATATTTTATCTGCAATATGAAGTTATGCCTATTGAAACATTACACGCGGAATAGAAAGAAGAAAAAACGTAAGTTAATTGTACGCCTCAAAGGTTCGTAAGAAAATTTGTTCGGTATTATTAATTAAAAATTAATGAAATACTAGTTGTTGATGACTTACTAATGTATCAAATTTTAAATTAATTAATATTAACTTTATACTGCTTTTTATTATGTTTATCAAATGTTGTAATACTAAACGGTTTATCTAGACTTTTCTTATTAAACCGGAAGATTGGCTCGAAATCAGTGTGAAATATGGTGAAATATGGTTGCCGGCTAATCGGACATATGGCATAATTATATTAGACGATTGCCGGTGTAAAGTCACCACTTTTTTGCGCTTCTGTGGTTGTACGATGAGGGTGGTTTCTCGTTGAATTTCTCATAAGATGTTCTGCGATATCCGGTGCTGCACGGGTAGATAGTGCAATTTTTCATTTTTTCCCCTGACAATCGGAGTTTGAGCAGCGGTGTATTGTCGGTCAAGATGTTCTCAAGTATATGACACTTAAGAAATTTTGTTTACCGCCGGGCCAAGACATGGACTGATGTGCATAACATTTAAACTTACAAGTGTACAGTAGAAGCGATCCATGGCGAAATTCTGACAGGATCGTTTATGTTGTGGTTTAGGTGCTATTCACTATGTAAAGTGCAACCGATTACGCTGGCTAATCGGATTATTCCACAACATTCCTGATAGCCGATCAGCCGCTTACAGAATCTTTATGGATGAGAAATTCTCAATGCACATCGCTGTGACTAGCAAACTGCGATGCCGCTTCTGACTTTTACACACTGCAGCATATAATTATTAAATTACTGTCTGTACGCAGTACGTAGACTTTTAAAAATATAATTTTGAATTGGAGAATGAACTGACAAAAGCTCGGAAAATGATAAAACCAGTTTTTTATGCTATCGAAAATAACTGTCATTTACTTTTTTGCCATAATTAAATTTTATGGACATTTTCCTCAATTTCGATGGAGTGCTATGATCAGATTTACAGTTATTTAAATACATAATATGTGTGTGTCATCAATATGGGCACTTGGGAAATATGAAAATTTCAAAACATTTTTTCTGTTTTAATGAGTTTTTCTTACAGTGGGCAGTTAGTTCATACATTATAACCAGTTCATACAATCATTATAACGAGTACTATGCGAGTGTACAAATACTACAGTATGCGAGTTTACACGGTAGATTAATCGTTTCACCTTTTATAATTTTTCCTTTTTTATTTCACTTTGAGCACATTGATTAATGTCAGGCAGTACAGTAGAGGAAAGAGGAGTATTGCGGTGATAATCGGTGAATGTCGTAGTGTAGTGGCATGATTCCAAAACTTTAGCGGAAGAAGCAGGTTAATCCTAGCTGGCAAGAGTAACAGATAATATTGTACTTTGTATAACTGATATGCTGCCGTGCATACCATGCACCTGTAGCAAATTTTTAAGCAACTTTGCCCGGGCAATAAATTTTGATGATAATACACGTATACAAGGGTGTAATTATTTTATTAACTGGTTTGTTATTCGGTTACCTTTATTTCACTCTATTATGCTTTCCTAAGTCTTCTTGAACGTGAATTTTGCCGGTATTCCGTTTTCTGATACCTTGACTGAATAATTATTAATTAATTTGTTAATTTATTTGGCAGTCTCCTCTCCGAAACGGTTGTCCTGCCCGGTCATAACCCCCATCTACTCCGACGAATCCTCCACCCCGCCCTCCCCCACCTACGACCTGGTCCCGGTGACCCTCTCCCGTTCCCCGGGAGAGAAACTGGGCCTGGGCTTATCCATCCAAACCCAGCCGGACCACGACACCGTCGACTACGTCCTGATTCGCGCCGCTCCAAACGACACCACCGTCCAACCCGACGACGAGATCCTGGTGGTCAACGGCGTGGATCTGCGGACACTCCGGCGTGCCGAGTGTGTGGAGCTGTTCAAGAATGTACCGCAGCGGTTGAGCATGGTGGTGCGGCGGACGAAGAAGACACCGGCGGAAGTAGGGCGGAACGCCATTAGTACTGCATCACCGACGCACTCGTTTACCGGCACAATGGACAGCGGCGGAGGTGGGGGGCCCGGTTGGAGTGGGATGCACAAAGGGAGGAAGGTGCGCCGGCCCAGTGAACCGCCTCCGCCGCCGCCTCCGCTGCAGGGTACGGAGGATGAGGAGGGGATGTATCGGGAAGAGCAGTACGAGAATATCTATGGTTAGTGTGATAATAAGGACGGGTCATCGAAAAGTTCCACACCTTTACAGTTTTTTTTTCCAATATTTTTAAAAAAATCAAGTCTAATCGAAGACATGCTTTTTAAGCTATTATAATTGCACTGTACACAGGACTCGTACCTCGTAAATGAGTACCCTTTACTCTTTAGGATATACCTATAATATCTATGTGTTCTTTGTCGGCTTTACGAGGCACTAGCTAAGCGACAGTTTGTCATGCATTTCTTTTCGATATAATGCTGAATCCCACGTTGTTCATTTTTTGACATGTTAATTGCAAGAATACCGTGCATTTCGGTAAAGTTTAGTAGTAAATATCACCGCCTGCTGTAATTAGTTTTTATTAGCTAAAAATTTTGGCCTTGATCCAATTTCAGTATTTCGGTGCTCCTGTCGTATTTTTTATTCAGCCTACTAATTATTTTTTCTGCGATTTACTGAAATATCAAGTGTAAATAATTGCCCTTCTCTTCTTTTTGCCATGAAAATCTCAAGTACAGTGCCGTGCACCTTTATTGTACTACGAATCAGGTATTGTGTTTATGAATCACTAGCGAAACTACACATCTGCAAGTGAACATAGTAGTGAGATGGCGAAAACGCCGTCTGGAAGTATGGTTATTTCTTGTACGATCACATGAAGATTTCGATGCAAGTGATATTATATTTAACTTTAGTATTGTCGACGTTTACAATGTTACTGTTTTTTGTAAATATCTGCTTTGCACTCTTCTGAAACATAGCGTTTATTCCATGCGTGGGGAACTCTTTTAGAACCCTTTTAAAACTCTCTAGTTATGCAGCTGGTACGGCCGCGCTCGTCCGCTGATATACTTCTACAGCTAAAACCGCACCAAATATGTCATGAAATTTTGAACTAATTTTTCTCAATTTGTAGACCTCCCGTACAGTGACCAGCAGTGTCCTTCGGAGCGGGAATACCATAGCATTCCGGATCTGGATGCCCTGACCCACACAAGTTCCTACACTTCGTCTTGTGATAAGCACAACGCTCAACAGTATAAACAAAGCGGTAATTCAATGTTGGGATAACCTAGTTAAAATTTAAAAATTATGATAATAACTGGAATGTGATAATGACGGCACAGAATCGCTATCTGCGATTTCGCAGCTTCCACTCAAGTTTTATTATGCGCATCATACTAATCTGCACTAAGTACTTCGTGCGCAATTTTCTGTCCACTTTGTGAAGGTTAATTGTAGACTCGTAGTGTAATGGATGTTCGCTATTACATATATTATGTCCGCTGTTCGGTGTGCTTGTATACAGACATATCGGAAAACACTAAAACAGTTGAAAAGCATCGATTTTTGGAATTTTTGATAGCACTAGAAGCTCAGGAATATTAGTTCTAGAAGGACATTTAACTTTGTCCGGCTGCTATGACAGATTACGACAGTAATTTCACGTTCCGCGCCTCGACACCAGCCGACGAAAAGGTCATCATCCCGGATGACCACAGCCACGACTCGGCACTGACCACCTCGTCCGGATCATCGCGGTCAAGCGATTTCAGTGTAAAACAATCCTGTCGTGATAGATTATATCAGTCTCCATTAATTTTCACAGAACGGTTGGTAATGCTTGCAGCGCACAGAGATCAACGAAGGCTTCCGGGTGTCACGGTCAGATAGCGCCAGCCAGTGTTCATACGATCCGGAATGCGATGAAGAGTCCTTGTACTGTGACACGGTGCTGTTGCGGCAGGCGATACATCCACCGGACACGGTTATGGAGGAACATTCGACACCGGGCGGAAAGGGCAAGGAGAACTGCGGAGTCGAATACACTAACAGGTCGGTTGCGGAAATACCAAATTAAAAGCACCGGAAATGCTTTTTCGATGATTTCTTCGGTGTACGTTAGCACGACAATCAAGTTTTTTTTATCCCAGATTCACTCCTTAATGCCTATTCCAGGACCAGCAATATACGGCGAAGCTAATGATCTAGCTCTAACTAAAAATTATTTCGTTTCTAGCATAATAAACGACAACAACAAATTTATACATGCGCAGATATTTATTTACCTTGGGTTTGTAGCTTAGTGGCACTTTCGTTAAAAAACAAGACACGTGGTTATTGTGCCAGTTATAATCGAGAATCGCGAAAAGCCAAGAGATTGTTTTTTCATAACACGTAGACTGCATATCCACATAGTATAAAAATATAAAAATATTTATGTTCTGTATGTACGTTATTACCATACAAGGTGGCTAGGAATGTTTGTGCAACTGTTCATGCAGCAATATATTCCCATCCTTTTCCAGCTTATGTTTTCCGTTGTAATTGATTCATTTTTCCTGTCGGTTTTTCAGTAATGCCAGTAAAAATTTTTGCATTGCATTATGTGCTGTGATTTTTGTGAACATCTTTCGTTATCCCAAAATTTATTCGCACCAGAATTTTTTGCGAAAAGAGGGAAGTGTTTTCCGCGATTGCGTACACTTGCAGCGTGACCTGATACTGCAAATTAATAATATTTGATTGTTCATGTTGTGATGCGCTGTTAACAACGTAAACGGTTCAAATTAATATGTTTTTTTTGGAACTTGAATCTCGGTTTTGCAAAAAAGGTGTCAGTAATTACTCAGTCAAGAAGCCTAATGCACAGCCACAAGTCAATTTTGGCATTATTACCTGCTCGGGAAAATGCCACTTTTCTACAAAATTTCCGAATATTTGATAATATTAGCAGGTATCGTAGTAGAACTATCAGCGCAGATGGGAAGGAAACTGTACATCTTCATTTTGGTTATTAAATTATCAGCATATTTTTCAAGGGAACCGTGTAGAACAGTATTTAGTACCTTACAAATTGCAGTTATAACTAATGCACGATTTCTTACAGTGTACGCACAATTTTCGGTGAATAGACGCTGCTGGAAGATGTTAACAGCTGCTCACCGCCGACATTATACGCACATAAACAGTAAACCGGCTTTGTTTTCACTCCGTTACGTACACGTAAAAAAATTCTGTATTGGTGTGTATAATCTGAAATTCTTATATGGCTTTCTGGTAAAGCTTCTCCAAATTGTGCTGTAATTGTTCAGCGTCGCGTCCAGTAGAAACCGGTGCGATTTACGTACATAAAAGGCTATATAAAAAGACTCCCTGTGGTTTTCTCACGTTTCTGTTATTTTTCAGACCCCCTTTACGATCCACCGACACGAATGCCTTAACACCCGAAAACCTGTTATTACAAAAACACAAACTCCGGCACATCGCGCATCCGAGCGTTTCACTTAACCTTGACCGGGCACCTCCGCTCCCTTCCCAAATAATGACCGCGACTTCTCCGGCGGAACCGCCGTTGCTCAAAGACTTCATCCTGGCCTGCGACGATCTCCCCGAAAGCTCCGTGGACGCGGAATTGTCCGACAGTGACGGAAGTGGCGGGAAAAAAGTGGTGACCTTTGCACCCGGTTCCCCGGAGACCGTGGGCGGGCCGGTGCGGACAAAATCCCCCGCCAAGCTGATCGACGGCGCCATGTACCGCGCGTATTTGGGGCTAAAGGGCCGTAAGAAGGAGAAGAAACGGGATACTCCGGGTGACGCCAGCGGGACGACGGCGGCGAAGATTCGGAGTATCCTCAAGACGGGCCACAGTGCCGAGATGGAGGAGAATCGACAGGTGGGACAGAATTTACTCACATACGGTACTAAAATAAAATAAATCTTAGTAAATCATATCATAAATAAATTAAATCATGACCTTTAATTTATTAAATTATGTGTTAAATTAAATCGCAATATGTTGATACACATTTAATTATAAATTAAATTGATTGTATGTGTAATTGACGGCGCTCTCGGGACCTGCAGCGCTCACTATCGGAAAGAACATTGTAGAGTAATGGCTTATGATGTTGTAATCGTCCTGGGTTCATATTACTCGTAGTTCGAGCTCCACTATACAAATGTATCCGTTCAAAGCGCGTGACGAATAACGAAAATTAATTGTGGTTGTTTTTTTCTACCTATCTGTATACAAGTCCATTTTAAGCCATCGTGACCGTCGTTTGTTATCGTTTTTTCATCCCAAAGATAAGTCACAATACACAAAAATAAAGGGCTCCTTATAAAATAGAGGTGCAAAAATATTGTAGGGTTTGATCATTTTTTTTACCAATTTACAGACAATTATTTTTACCGCGGCAGCATGCTGCATAATTCAGTACAAAATTCCAACGGTTTAGTAAAGTTTTTGTTCCTTATTCAGCACACTATGATCGCCCATTTCGAAGAACATACGCAGAATAAAAAAATACAACCTTGTCTAGGAAAAATCGTTTTTATTATGCCGTTGAAACTGTTTACGGGTAAGCCTGATTTCTGCGCATCAGGTAGATCAGTGGCGTCCGCGGACGCAACAAACGGTGACTAATTTCCGGCTGGTGAACAGAGCATGGTGAGATTTTTCTGTTTGCTCAGACCATCTTGAACTTCTTCAGCGGCACACGCCGGTGTAAGATAACCTAATAAATTAAACATTACGCCAGCATTTAACGGTCATTTATAAAGCACTGCATTGTGAATTGGCCGACTCCGGTTTACGCCGAATGAGTTTGTCGCCGTTCACGATGGAATCGATGATATGAACGTAGATCGTTGTGATGTTAATCAGCTTGTGTAATTACGTCATTTAAATAAATAACATGAAATTATGATTAAAGGAAAGATGCGTTCGTGCATGTTACACAAATGGATGGAACATCTGACTGAAAACAAAACCAAAATTTTCAGATCGGCAGTTGAATTTGTTTATTTTCCAATATTGACAAACTCATTGTTTAACAGAATTTAGTTATTTTTTATTCAATAGGGCAACAATTCTTATACTGAAATAAATACTAAGCTAATAAATGGGATGGAATCGAAAAAAAAGAGATGCTGATAATTAAGTAATCCGGAATCACAGCGACCATTTAGCGAATTTTGATGTTATGGATGAATAAAAATAATACAAATATTGCCTTGCAACAGTTCTCACATACGTGCGTGTATAACGTTTAGCGACGTTGGAAGCGGTATAGCACAGGAGAACATTGGTTTAACCCAAGCTTCCCACTGTTCTACGATATTCACCGCATATTAGAGCATTTTGCAGTGATGTCGCTATATCGCTTCATGTGAAAGCGCAATAATTGAAAATCTGGTGTAATTAACTCACTGGACAATTTTTCCTTGACCATGAGGGTTTTTTGAATGTAACCGAGGATTAAAAAATAATTTCCGGAGCACTACGTTGTAGCAATTTTTCTGAATAAAAAACGATGATAAATTATAAATCTCCGTACGAAAAACAGTCAAGTTGTCAATCATAAAAAACCAGTCGTACCGAATTCACCGACGCGTACACGTTGAGACAATGGACAGATCCCATTGGACGTGGATGCAGTTGCACGCGCGTTAAGGTTGAGCGGCGGGGGCGTTTAAGTGCTGGGTACAATACATTATACATCTATTCGCATTTCGCGGTACACGGTAGTGCGCTGGTATATAGACACAGACTGGATAATCCCGCGGTGTTGGCCGTGGGGATTAAGGATTGTCGTTGAATAAAAACAAACGCATGTGTATTGTCCGGCAGAGTGGTCAAGATGCCAGCGGACAAACCGGCAACAAACTCATTAACACCGCCACGGATGCTGATCACACAGTACAGCCGGCACTCGATACCGTTGGTGCGGCAGCGGATTATACGGCAGCCGTCGCGCTGCATCATCGGCAAATAGATGATCGCGGGGATGGGAATGCGGTGTTGCTGCTACCGTCGCCGTTGCTCGTCGCCCGACTACACCGATCGCCACTGTCTGGTATGTGGGGAATGCTGTAAGCCGTTGTTCTCCGAAGGGGAATCTATCCACTTTTTGTAACTGGATATTTCTATATATGCTATTAGCTATATGACCTTGGATATACGTGCATCTGCAACTGGTGCTTTTTTTTATTTTAACGTATCCATTTGTTCGCTTATTGGGATTTTCCTTACATAAAACGCTGCCCAGGTTTGTGCGAGCTTGCATTGGTGCGGAATTTATTACGGATTTATATCGGCGAAAACGTCCATCCTTCTCTGGAATTTTAAATGCACTTTTATACATTTACTCGTCAACTTTAACTCATTTGAAATAATTGAATTTTGAGGCATTAAGTTGAGGCGTTTTAGATAATTTGACAAAACTTATTTTATACTTTTGAAACTGAGAATTTGTTGCACTATAGTGACTGAGCTTTTTCGGATTTAGTTGACTGTGCTTTTAAATAATTTTACAAAATTTATTTGATATATTTTCAATTTTGCAGTTTTTAGCGTGGCATTAATTGGACTTTTAGCAGTATGTATGCCGATTAAGCTGACTTTCTCAAGGCTTTATTTCACGATTCTTCTTTAAACTTTAAAATTCACTGCTTTAAACTTAGATCAAGAGGTGATTAACTTTACAAAATTTGTTTGATTTATTCGAGAATATTTCGTTTGTTCTTGGAACTTCTATAGCAAGATAATATTTTTAATTTCCATTAAGCTGGTTGGTTTCACTATCCTGTTTATTTAAACTTGCAGTTTATTTTCTAATAACGTATCAGTTACTTGATTCCGTATAGCCAATACAATCGTTTTATATGCCTTTATCTTGTGGTTTCGCTGGAAATTAAACTGTCCGATATACTTACCTTGCCGACACGATATTAGCATAAAGTTTACTTAACCCTTATCAGCCGCGGATGGTGTGTTGATTCTATGCCCGTTTGATATATTCTCAACAGATGTTCACTTGGACATAACGCCAAAACCAACATCACACAGCAGCCGATCGCCCTTAACGAAACCTGCCAGTGTTCCTAACGTTAACCATTACGCGGGACAACTGGATCTCTCCCAGTTGTTGTCGCCGGTTGCGTGTAAAAAGAATTGTGCTGATGAATTACCGGCAATTGCCAGTCATGGATTAGCTCATTGTGCGCTGACTAACGAGGATGCGCCTTTAAAAGCGGAGTGTGCGGTGCTTGCCGGGCATCACTCTGTTGACGTGTTACAGCGGGATAGTGTTGATTTTTTTGATAAAGCCTGGTGGAAGGTATCGGACAAGGCAGTGGGAATCGCGGAGAAGGATCTTCCGGAAGGTCAAACGCCGACATTTCCGGTGCATCGGAGTGGGGACGACGGGTAGGTTAAATTAGGTTAAACGTATGCGGTGATGCTAAGGTTGAGGATTGACAGTGTTCGACATGCTTTCCGGTGTGCGCTGTAAAACCACACCACATTGTAAGATTAGTCTTTCGAGAACGGTATTTTTTGAGAATTTTTTGATAATTAATTTGTGCTTAAGTAATTTTCTTAATTTGGGTTATAATAAATTTGCGCAAAGTATACAACTTACTAAATTTGAATGTACTGTATATTAATTTTGTTTGAACTTGTTTCTGTAAAATATATTTTCTGATAGACATAAAGTAAAAGTATTTAAGTTATACTCATTTAGAAGACAGTAGTTTGTAAAATGAAACGCGTGTCTCGGATTAGCTGTTGGAAACTTCATGGAATCTGTTTAATTCTCGTCGTAATACGAGTACGTACTCTACCCTAGTATGGCTGCATTGTAGGACAGTGGCATCGCGTTGACTGAAGCATCTTCGCGATTAATGTACTGCGATCGTGCAGAGTACTGTACAAGCACTTCAGTCTGTAAATGCGAATCGAAATCGATAAGGATAATTCTGTATTTCTAATATGATAACGTTTTTTTTGTTAATGATAATATTTTTCGTACCATGCGTTTCAGTATTTTATTTATAAGAAACAATGCTTTTTATACGAGCAATATTGTGATAAGTATTTGTTACTGGAAAGCTTTAAAGCAAAATGCGCTGCATTCAGTAGGGTACGTGAATACAAAGGCGGCAACAAACCGTGCTTTCCATAATACGGCAGCCATCCATACGGTTGTCATACGAATTCCCCCGAATACTGTTATGTTATATGTAAAATTAATGCCAAAAAACACGAAACACTGGGAATGACAACTTGTTTATTGCCCCTGCTATGAATAATACATTTCCGTGTGAGGCATTAATGACTGTCTGTGTAAAAATAAACTGGACCTGCAACTGTGAAACATCATTACACATTCGTAGACGTTGCACGTGTAACACACCGCTTATTCAAAGCCGGTAGAGTGAACCTTAACCCCTGGGAGATTACTCAATTTAAATCAACATTTAGCAACACTGTTCTTACGTTAGAATAACAGTAAATATTTGATTTAATTCCGTTGAATTAGCTACAGCGTTCAATATCACATCCTGATAAACAAACGTCTATTACTGCATTAACAGTATGAATTCTTAAAGCGTTCATATTTTAATTAGCCGTCTTGTCAGCTTACGATAGCATAACTGGATTAACCAAAAACTTCGAAAATACGAGTACAAATAATTTATAATACGTAATGTTTATTTGATATGATGTATTTTCAGCGGTTAAGAATAGAATAATAATTAAGTATTACGTTGTGTACGATAGAAATACAGTCTATGAAAATTTACGCAATGCAGCCTTTTTTTTGTCGCGGTGTGTATAATTCGTGTACGAATACCGGCATTCTCGCACACAGAAGAGAAATACATAAAAATAACGCTCTATGTACAGCGTACACCGCGCGTGATTTTACTTGCACGCCGATCAGCATTAAAATGCACGTTTATGCCGTAACCAAGCGGAAACAATGTCCGAGGAATTATGTATATGTTTCAGCGTTATTAATCCGCCAGACCACCCGTCTCCTCCCGCGCAGTCCACCGGTGAAGGCCACCACCACGCAGACATTCCACCGCCGTCCAGTGACCTTTCCCCCGTATCGGCCGACCGGCCCCGCCCCGGCTTCATCGGGCCCAAACCCGTCGTCCCGCCCAAGCCGAAATTCCTTTCCCGTCTCACGCCGGCCAACAAAAGTGTTAACAGTCCCCACGGTAGTGTCAAGACAAACACCGATAACACCGTCTCTCCCGCTGACACAGCAATGTACCAACAATCAGACGCTCCGTACAACAACACAGCCCACCTTAACGGTCCACTTGTCCTAAACAATAGCCACTCGCATACGCCGGTACCCAGTATATACCCGGCATTGCACACATTACACACTGACACTATACAGCCACAGCTGTTGCCGCCGCCTCCGTGCTTTCCACATGACTCAACCGCAGTGCACCCATTAAATCCGTCACCCGCACGAGAACACGCTGCTGTTGAATTACTCGCTACAAAAAATCATTTGCATCGTGCCACATACGTTGAACTACTCGACACCGATCACACGGAATTTCTCACCAGCAGCATGACGGAATTAATTGATTTCTCCATGGACACCCACCCTCCCCTGCCGCCTCCGCCGGACTTTGCGCTGAGCAGCGAGATGACCCTCCTGGACTTATCCGCCGACTTCCTCCCGGCCTTTCCCACGGGCCCCGCCCAGTCCGACTTCCCGGTGTACCTGGAGGCCATGCGGGAGAGCACCGACTCCGGCAACTACCCGGACGCCGGCACCATCGTCTCCGACACCTCGCAGATCATCTCTGCCGACGACTCCACCTCCCTGTCGGTGTCGACCACCTCCGACACCTCCGATCTGGAGGACAACTTCTCCCTGGCGTTGCGCCGGGATTCGTCCAGTTCCTCCGAGCAGGAAGGGCATCCGCATGATATCGAGATCCTGCATATGAACTGGGATATCGGGCTGAAGGTCATGTTGGACCGGAAGGGCCGGTGTGTGGTCAAGGAGATCTCCCGGACGTCGCCGTTGGGGCGACTGGGGAATATCCGGCCGGGGGATTATCTTCAGAAGATCAACGGGCAGAGTCTGATGGGGATGGGCGAGAGCGAGGTGTCCACACTGATCCGGGCGCTCCCGCGGGGGTTGGTGCAGATGACCGTCGTTAGTGGAATCGGAGAAGGCCACCGAAGGGATTCCGTGGAGACGGTCGAGACGTCGGAAAGACGGGATAGCTTAGTCACTTTGGATAGCACTTATTCAGGTAAGAAATTTTGGAAAAAATGAGGCTTTATTAGTCAAAATAAACCGCAAAAGTTATTAATCCTTAGCATTTTCTACTGTGGTTTTATTATACATTTTACGATAGTTTCTAAAATTGTTTATTATTTTTATTTGTGCATATAAGTATTTTAATTTTTGCAAACTGCAGCATTTGATAATAGATTTAATATTTTTAAATTCTGTGCAAATTAGTCAGTTTTAAATTGAAATTGCCCACGCCTAAAATTTCGTTGGAAGGCCGGTTGATTTTCTGGCTGTTTAATATGTAGATAAAAAATCAGCGTGAGTGCATTTAATTGTGTCTGTCAGTAACGGTCTACTAAGCGCTCCTTTAATTGCCCGTTGAACACTGCCGACGTTTAAGTGTGAGAAATGCGCGGCGATGATGATGTGAACGCGTACTTAATTATGCCTTCGTTTTTACATGATGCGCTAATCGTTTATTAAGTATTTTGCGATCACTTAGTCCGATTTTGAAACAGCAGCGCCCGTTGTGAAAAGCCGACACTGCTCTTTAATTGTACGATTGTATAAGTGTCCATAAGTTTGGCAGATCTACGATTAACTGCAAATCAGAACATAATTACCGCTGCAATGTCAGCAACTTAACATAACTATCTTGCATATATAAATTATGAAAGCTGGTATTGAATGAAAGTTTTGTTTTTCAAATGTGTTACACATTTTGAACATTTCCATTATGTACTCGTTTGCGGGTATTACTAAATCGATACACATGATTGTAGTAATCGCTGTAATATTAAATTCCGACAACCAGGTTTGACAGGAAATACTTCGCTAAAAATTTTCAACTCGTTATAGTACTAAGATCAACCACCCGAAAATACGATATTTTCTGTTTAAAAGCGTACGCACTGAGTTTAATTTACGAAAACACTGAATTTAATTTACGAAACACTGAATTTACGAAAACAGAATTTAATGATGACGTCATATATATGTTGCACGTTATTATAGACTGCCAAACAGTTAAAAAATATTATTTGAAAACTGAGACCGAAAGCATAATTATCAAAGTGATGATAAATCTATTGTACCAATTTGTACGTGGATACATGCAGAAACGGTCGAACCTATGTTCCGGGATATTCCGTTTGCCGATTCACTACGAAACACCAATATCTTATAACAGTACCACAGTTGCTGACGAGATTCAGTGTCTCATATCTATATTATAAAAACTGATAAAATAAACGGTTAGGGAAATTCGTCTGATAATGACTATCTGTTGCATGTAAATATGCCAATGCCTGAAAATAATTGATTTTATACGCTGTGTAAACGGGTGCAGATTAATTTTCGTCTGCATAAGAGGCATTTTAATTATAATACGCGCGCGCGTTGTAAACGTACAACTGGGTGGTGACCTTATGTACAGCGTATTGTGCACGTTTTCGTAATATTCATCCCGGTTGAAAAAAAACCGCTTTGAACTTCACCGCATTCTGTGCACAGCGTTGATGTTGTAACTGTTATTTATTCGAGCAGATCCAGCTGTAAATCGCTGAGTTATCACGAAGATTCTTCTTAATAATCAAAAACATAAACACCACTCGTCAATCCAGTTGAATCGGTCTGCTTATTTTACCGGTTAAGTATCTGTTTCATTTGTCCCACAGAAAGTAACCGTTTCACAATTTGCTTTTTCTCGGTTTTCTCCCGGATATCTTGCTCACTTTTTTCCAGTCTGACAGCAATAAAATCATTGAATTTCAAGTGATATTTTATTAGTAAAAGGGGTCAGGTTCGTGATGATGCCGTGCGGGTTTTACTGCCATGGTGGCAGATTTCGCCGGCAATTGGACTTTTAAGTTTGGTTTTCCATTGCTCATTGTCGACTGTAGAATAACAGCGTATTTAACCGTTAAATAAACTAACAACATATACGTGTTTGATAAGTAAGTAAATGTGCAAAGGAAAAGTCCGTGTTCTTCCGGGATCAGGTTACAGTTCCATGTTGATTTAGAGATTTTTCTTGAATTGAATCTGACTGATAACGTTGTGCGGGTAACGATATCCGACTGAATAAATACCCGTAATTTATTGGTTTGATATGAAAAAATTCGGGAGATCTTTTTAAAATTTACAGTAGAAGTATCAACAATTTTTGTCGAATACAAGTGCAAGGAGTGAAATGTTGCTTATGCAGCATTACTGAGAGCGAACTACTAAGTTTATTAAGCAACAAAAATAGGAAATTTAACAGGCTACAGAATACCGTAATTAATTTAGCTTCTGTTTATTAATTTAATAATTAATTTAATATGCCGGGATCCACTTCAACGGCATGTTGATTGTTTTATACATTTGACACTCTGGTGTTTAGACGCGACCTACCAGACACCAAGCGGTCAGTTCTGTTCATGAAAAAAATAAATGACTGCACGCTTTGTCTTTATAATGTGGCCTTAACACAAGCGTTTTCATTAATTACATGCAGCGAACTGTCATGGGCAAAGATGATAAATCGCTGAAACAATTTAGGATTAACCTGGGCACATTACCATTGTAATTTTTTTGTTTTTGATATCTTGTCAGACGTTGAACTGTATGCAGTGGCCTTGGAAAAATCCCCTACCAATAATAATAATTTACTACATCGTTAAACTTACCGCAGTGTTTTAGATAAATTAGAATAGACCGGAATGTGATAATACCGGAAATTTTTTCGGTTTTGTAATGATTTTACGCATGTATAAATAATTTTATATCAAACATTAAACTGTTTTAAAACTCGTACAGCACGAGTATTAAAGTACAGTGTCTACAGTACGTACGTGTGTACGGTTCACCGCACTCAACAGGTGGCAACGAGAGCGAGCTGCATCTTCGCTGAAGGTTCACCGCTTCACCGGTAGAGCCATCGTACAAAAAGCGTACGAGTTCTCTACTGCACCGGCACACATCACAAAAAACCCCATTAATAACGCATCTTATCGCCCAAATCCGTGTTTAATCCGGCCAATAAATTCTCCGCGGACCAGCTTGTACGACCAGTGCAGTGTATCATTAAGAGGGTGTGGCCAGCGATGAGGCGCTTTCATGCGCATCCGTCAGTCAAACGCTGGCCACTGTGCAATGCAATGCAGTGTGTGTGCTGTGCCGTTTTTCCATGGCAAATCGCAAACAGTAGCGTGCATTCAATCAGGCCAACATTTTTGCATTTTCCATTAAGACGATACGCAGCATCTTTTTTTACCATCGTCTAGCCTTCCCCCATCTGGCATTTTAAGTTTTCCTGCGTTTCCTAGGCGGAGAAGAGACCGCGATCCACAGTGTGTCGCCCAACCAGGAAACGACACGCAGCGACGCCATTTTGGGACCAGGTCAGTTTGTCGTCTGACGCTCTTCGACTTTCTCATGTAGTCGCTAGTTTGGGAGGTTTTCGTCATTTTTAAAGTGTTTAACGGGGAGATGGTGGTCGTAGAATGAAGATGGATCGATTGTGACAGGGTAGATTAATTGCTAATTGATCGACTGGGTTTGTTGTCGCGTAACACGGCCGAGAGTCGCTCGTCGCATTAATTTGGCGACCAGTGCAAGTCAAGCGTTAATTTCCACTTCAATCAGATTTCTCTCGACCGTCAGCATGTTCGCCCACTTGGACACTTGATAACGCGCGCTGCTCAACAGCGACATCGATAGCTGATGATGCGCGAGGGAGTTGCGAATTATAGTTTTTCTCCTGCAGAAAATGATGGGTTTTTTCGTCCAGAGTAAATTTGTCAATATAGGTTAATTGGCGTATTTTGCTATTGGTGCATTTTTCCTATAAAACATTCCAATGCATAGCAGATATTGATCGAGAGAGAGAGAGAAATGTCAACATTTGCGAGTTTTTTGGCTGACACAGAAGGCAAATATTGATTAGGGCCTGCGTGTGGGCCGCATACTATGCATTAAAAGTGGCAATATGGATGAGAAGTGAGTGTTGCAGTGTGTGATGCAACCTGTTGATGGCGGCATCAATTCTAATGTGCTGCAGTAATGCGTTTTTTCTTTCCTTGTATCTGTTGCGTGCGAATGCAGTGGAATGCATGTGTGCGTGAGGGAAAATTAATGGCAGACATATGCTAGTGTTGTGTTGTCCAATTCGCCGTAAAGGGCCGGTTCCTTAAGGTTGTCGGTCAGTCTTTTTTCACATTGGACGTAATTGAACACTGTCACGAACAATGGAGTTCAGCACGTCTGCGCCGGTGTTGTTGTGGATGTAATGCCGCATCGTTCACACGTCACGGTGGTCTTGGGAAAATACTGGCGTGTTGATCGTTGCCACGGCGGTGTTATGCTTTAAGGTTTTTGGAAAACATCAATAGAAAAATTCAGGATTAAACTGGTTTTCTCCCGAATTATTGTTTTAAAATTTTTTATATTAATTGGAAAATGCAGTTAAAAAATGCACTTTAAAAAACAGCAGAATTACAATTCGATTTTTTTCTTGTTTATTTTAGAAAGGGGTTTTACAAAATTGAAAAATTTACGTTTGATATATCACAGAATTGACAATTTGCCTAAATAAATTAAGCAAAAAGTTAGGAAACAAAAGGAAAACTGCGGAAATATTAAATAATTGGGCCCCAGTATTTTTCTTTTACGTTTTATAAAACGATTTAGCGTTGACCTGTAAATGAAAAATAAAAAGAAAGGGGCGGAAACGTTAAATATGTCGACACAGAATTATTTTCTTTCTTGTGCCAGTTTGAAAAGCTTTTAGCTGTGGATCTGCGTTAATGTTTAGCTTTTCTCGGTCATATTCAAATTTTTGTTAACCATTTGAATGGAGTTCGGAATTCCAATTTTTTTTCCACTGGAGTTCATCATTCGGTGTGAAATGCAGCAGGTGGTTGAGCGTTTAGGGGCTTTTAAAATTCTCTTCCCTAATGCACAATGTACATTACATCTGGCGCGGAGAGGATCATAAAGATAAAAGTTGACCGGTTTACAGCTCTTGGATAATGTAGTACAAATAGGGCAATAAATTTGGTGGATGTGTATGGTGGTGTGTGTGTGAGTGTGTGATTGCAAAATCGCTGACGAAAGAGCGTTTATATTGATTGTTACCGGTGTTTGAGAATGGAAAGAGCACACAACACTATGAGAGAATGCTTTTAATTGACTTGCAGTCTACTTTTCTGCTTACAAACGCCGATACCGAAAATTGTTGCGATGGTGTGCAGCACTATAGTGCAGATGCCGCGCCGGATGTGTAGCGTGATTGATAACACCGAGCTGCAGGTCTGTGTGTGTGATGTGATGGAAAGCAAGATGCAGCTGTTTGCAAAGATGTGAACTTTGCTGCTGATTTGACGCAATCCGTCAGTTTTTATTAAGTGCCTCCCCTCTTTCTCTCTCGACGCTCGCAGTGCACAGATAGCGCCGGGGCCGCTAAAAGAAATAAATCATCCTCTTATGTAAACCTTAACCTGTTGTACAAGTATACAGTACCGGTTGTTGCCGATGAGAAATTACAGCATGAGAGTTTGTTGGTCTAAGCATTAAGTAGTAAACCTAAAAGCACCCATCACTTTTCTGAAGAATCATTTTGGATTTTCTTCTGGCAGTTTTAAATTCATTAATTCTCGGGTTTTTTGTCGGAAGGAATTCGTGAAAAACCAAATTCGCACATGATGACAGCTGCTGTATTCGTGGTCATTTTTTATAAAGCGGCATTTGTTTTTAAATTTTTTCGGTCCAAAATTATTATAGGAGAATTAAATTTTTTAACTCAATTCTTTTGGAGTTGTTCGGTTTAAAAGATTAAAATTTCCAAGGGAATTCACGAGATCGTCTTCGATCGTGAGAGCGACCAGCGGGAAGATGGTTTTTTTGTGGCCTAATTGCATTTGCAGTTGGCACTTAGTTGCGCCACCTGCGGAGACTGGGAGGTTTTGTTTATAAACACAATCGCTTGCCGCATGCGTAATGGAGCTGCGGTGTAATGCGCAACTCGCATTGTTTAAGGAAACCTTGTTCTTTTCATATGCATATCTCGTTATTGAGGTCATGCCGCAGTGAGAACTCCGCTGACCACTTATTAGTCCTTCCGGCTCCGTTGTCTCGTTAAGCAGCAGTGTGCAGAAATGGACTGTGATGGTCGCACGTTATAGTTAAAAAAATTCTAATGTCGTTGTAACTTGTAAGTAATCTTCGAATTATTTTTTATACAATTTCATATGCAGTATAAGCTCTGGGTGCAAATGCTTGAAATTTACCTTGCGCCACTGTGCTACAATATTTGGCAGTCGTACTTCTAAATTGTCCTACGCTGTGTGAACTGTGAACTTGAGATGACAGTAAATTAGTAATAATTACAGTAGATTACATGTTGCCATCTGAGATCCCTTGATCAAATTTTACAAGAATTAACCTGAATTATTTTGTGCTGTATAGAGTATCATTTAACGATAATTTGATTTCCTTAGGTTAGCGAATAAGACATTACCATTAACCATTATTAGTGCGTTGCGCACGTAGGTACAAATTGTAATATTAGTCAACAGCGTAATGCCATCGCAGCACATTCTTTCCAATAACAGTAATCACCAAAAAAGGCCAGAGCCAGCATGATTCACCGGTGATACTGTGTTTGATTGGATGAGCGTTTTGTATAACAAACAATCTTACAATGACACACCGACAGACAAACAAGCACATATTGTCGCCGATGCCGAATCAGTTTTTATTCGAGTGCGAATTAATATTCGCCTAACCGCAGCTGTTTTGTACCTATATCTTTCCCCTGGAAATCGGATCGATTGGTTTATTACTGTGGTTAACTTTCTGAAGAGGATCAGGCATTGTGCGGTTATTCAAGGTGTGAAATTGTGTGTGATTGTGAGTGGACAGGCGGTAACAGATATAATTTGCGGCAATTTTTGAGTTCGAACGATAATTGGATGGTTGAGCTGACTTATGTGTGAAAAATGAAATCGGATATGTTGTCTGTTGTCACCAATATTCCAATTACAATGGAAGGTAATTTATTCCGGCATACATTTTCTTCTTTTCCAGTTCACTGGGTTTGCTCTTGCAATCACTGATGTCACTGCGAAAAAATTAACTGGAATAAAAGCATTTGATGAAGGCAATTTGACGCTTTTTAATTTTTAATTTATACCGAAACAGACATATAATTTATTTATTAAAAAGATTCTGGGGATTAGCGCCGTACTTTCAGCCAGTACGAAGTATCTTTCGTTCCAGCTGAAAAAATGTGAAAATACGATTTCGTTTTATGATTTAATGTTGCATAAATGGTTGTGCAATGCGCAATTTGCAGTCCGGTTGGCTTTCCCCAATGGTCGGATTGTGAAAGAGTAGTAAAGTAGTGGCATGACAATGGACCTGCTAATTATTAACTGTTTATTAAGTGTCAGCTTGGTTGCACACCGATTTGTTTACCCTATCCCAACATGCGTATTGTATGCGACAATGAAACGGAGTGTGATATGGTTATTGTCCTCGAAGTCTACCGTAAGATTGTGTTTTTTGGAACTTCCGGTTAATTAATGCCTGATTAATCTGAATCGGGTTGATCCGCTGTTGATCTTTTCAGCTATATTCTGAACTTGTTGATTTTCTTGCGTGTTGAGTGTTGACATTTGTTTTCATAAGATTTTATATTATACAGATTTCTGAAGTATTTTAATATTTATTGGTTAGTTACTTTGGTATTTATCCTAATATTTATAGATTTATATTTATTTAGTTTTAGTATTTCTTTTCTAATATGTATTTACTAGTATTTTAGCGTTTATTGGCTTATTACTGGTTAGCTGTTTTGCTGGAGTTTCCACTGCCGACTGATTAGGTGCATGCATGTTCATTTCGGGATTTGTATCTCGCATCCAGTTTGTTCGCTACAAGATTTCATGCAGTTAAGCAGGCATTTAATTAATGCATTTGTTTTTTTGCAGATCCGGATACATTTTACAATTCCTCCACTGACCACTTGGCATCCAGTCAGCTGATCGCCACCCCCGACATGGCCTCCCGCCATTCGTACGCCTACTCCCGCGACGTCCACTACGGCGTGACCCGCACGGTGCAGCCCAGCGTGCAGTCATCCAGCATCATCGAGCCCGTCGCCCGCACGGAGGTGACGCGCGCCCGCTCCATGCACGTCAACGAGCCGGCAGAGTTCATCGTCAAAATCCAGAAGGAGCCGGGACTTGATAATAATTTCCAGTCGCGCGGGCTGGCGGCACTGCGCCAGCACAGTAATTCCTTCCACTATGATCCGCCGACGGAGCCGACGTTTGATCTACAAGAGGAAGAATCCGCAGGGTCCTTTCGACGAAATGGGAATCACGCCAATGGAAATGGACACGGCGGTGCGGTGGCACCGGTGCCGTTAAAAATGGAGCAATATGAGCGGGTATGTACAGTGTACACGTGTCACCATGAGTTCGTTTTATGATAAAATTTCAAAAAAATTATTAAAAATAAAAGATCATCAGATTAGATTATAAAGTAAAAGATCATCAGATTAGATTATAAAGTATAAAACTACATTTTTTTGTATTTTTTACAATGATGTTTCTATAACTTGAAGGACCTTGATCGTGTATTGCCACTGTACTACGAAGCTTAGCCCAAAGTCGAATGTCGCAATCTATTCAACTTAGCTTTGAGGACCAGTTCAAAAATTCGAGATTTAAATTGATTGAATCACTAAACAGCTGTACTTCTACGATCTTCGATAATTATCGATTCACTGAAAATTGTGAGCTCATACTTTGATGCTCGATGTCGCTTTCAGAAAATATCGAGCGATAAAACCGGCAGCGTAGTTGATCCCTACAAGATCGGCCGGGAGCTGATTTCCGATGACTTCAAAAAGAAACGCGAACGCTTCCTCGGCGGCTCCTTCGAAGCCGACCAGACGAAAGGCATCACAAAGGTCAACGGCGTGGCTCCCGGGGCGTCCACTATCGCCGACCGGCGCAGTCGCTTCGCCGCCAACGACACAAAATCTCTCCAGAGCCCAACTGCTCCCAAAACATCGTTCACAACCCAGAAATCCATCGAAAAGCCATCACCAGCCCCAATGGACCGCCAGACATCCCAGAAATCCTTCGACCACACCCCCTCGACGAACGGCAGCCGCACGATGCCGCCGGTGATCAACCGGCCCTCTGTGCTGCAACAACCGACGGCCACGCCCCCCATCACGCAGTCCAACCGTTCGTGGGGCCGCGATCGCAACCGGAGCTCCTCCATCAGCTCCGTGGAGAGTCTGAGCAACAACTCGATTCATTCGTTCTCCAGCAGCGATCCATCGCGCCAGGAAGCGGTGTCGGAACGCCGCGTGTCCATCCGCGAGAAGGCGGCGGACACCTCGTTGGACCGGGGACGCATCAGTCCGGCGCAGTTGTCGCGGCAGCTGGCCAAGAAGGAAGTGAGTGCCAGTCACACGGCGCTCAATTCCGCCGGGACAGGCGGGAAGTTTGCGGAAGCATTGGCGCGCTATACGGCCAAGACAGGACATGAAGAAGGGGGACGGCGGGGCAGCAAGCCGCTGATCATCCCGGTGGCCAATAAGAGCGTGATGAGTAAGGCCAGTCTGTTTGAGCAGAAGAGCCAGGAGGGCGGTCCGGTGGCCCCGCCGGCGCCGTTGAGCGGCAGTAAAGCGCGCTCGGTCAGCCAGAGCAGTCTGCCGGGGAGTGGCGCGCAGCGGGAGTGGAGTGGCGGACGGAATGGGAAGGTGTCACTGCAGACCCAGTTAGAGGAAGAAGGTAGGCGACCGGTGCAAACTGTTTCTTTTCTTTAACTGGATGATTTATTACCGCAAATGGGTAGTGTTAATGATTTTCCAGTTGGTTTTGTGGTGTTTAAATCAGATGTGTCATCGTTGCAGTTTATATGAAAGTTACATTACGATCAAATAAATGGCTGACAGTATTGTTCAAAAATTTTTATTAAAAAGATAAATTTCAACGTTTTGAAACTGCTAGTACGTTGTTTGAGATTTACAGAGTTTTCTCGTTAAGCATAGTTTTTAGTGTACGAATTAGCGGTTCAGTTAGAGCCATCTCACTACGTCGCCTCGTACATTCAGTTCATACTTCATAGGTAGCAACATCCACGTTTAAGCAGTAGAAAGATTCGCAACGTTTTAGCGGTATTGTTCGTTTCGCAAACGGTTTCCCGTTAGGATAAACTGCTTCTGAAGAGTTTTGACGACTAGCGTTTTATCTTTTTAGTCACTTGTAAAAACGTTACATATCGCAGAATTTTACGTTTTCATTGTGGCATTATATTTTTATAAACCGAAATTAGGAGTACACGTATACGATATATGTACGATGTGCGAATATTTTTATAAACCGAAACCGGAACTACAAATATATGTATACAGTACGAAAAAGAAATAGGCTTACGTCATTATTATTAGTGTTAACGTTGAATAACTGCATTCAGAAATCCCAAGCTGGCGAAAACCGACAAAACCCGACATGGTGACCCCGGAGCCCACCCACAACGAGATCCCCTACACCCCGCGCCGCTCCCAGCTCCAGGAACCCCCCGCCGAACCCATCCACCGCCAGTCACCGACAGTCGTCCGCACCGTGCGGGACTCGGGCGTCTCTTCCAGCAACTCCAGCGTCGGGGACTCTCCGCCCCCGCCGGCCTCCCCGGAACACAAAGCCCCCAGCCGTCTCTCTGTCAACTACAGCGGCCGTCATCGCGGCATCGAGGAACTGGAGGATCTGCCGCACCCGACGGAGGACTTCCTGCAGCCCACCCCGCCACCGCCGCCCCTCCCGGCCACCCCGGCGCCGCTGGCCCTGGGCGCCATCGGGGCGCAGGTGGCCGCGGTGCAGTCGGCGCCGATGCGGGCGGCCGAGGTGGCGAAAAAGAGCCGCTCGACCAGTCGCGAACGGACGGAGAACGGGGTGGCGGTCAGCAAGGAAGGTGTGATAGGTGGTGGTGGAGAGGAGAATGGACAGGAGCAGATGGTGGAGATGGGACGCCGGCTGTTGGGGCCGGAGGGGAAGGACTGTGATGTGGTGTTGGTGACGCTGAACCGCCCGGATGGGAATAGCGGCGGCGGAGTGGGCGTCGTGCTGACGGGTGGAGCTGATTCGGAGAACAATCAGATCAAGGTGAACCGGAAGATCATTCAATCCATCAAATAATTACTTTGCAAAACATTTTAGTATTTTAAAATTCTTACATGAAGCTAAAATTTTTTATACCTAATCACACTCCACGCAGTAAATAGACCAGTAAATATTTACATTGCTCCATATGGTGCAAATTTAAAATAAATTAAAATGTTAATAATTTTAATCACCATCGATCCGAAACAAATTAAGCCTGACCGGCCCTTAAGGAAGTAATAATTTTTAAACACACATGAAAATTTAACGGTCATTTGTCAAATAATGTGCCTGCGCTTGTACTTATAATTTTTATGGTTATTAACTAGAGATAATATGGCATACAAATTTACCTTGGTTTTTTTCTCTAAATTTTGTGTTTTTAACTTTATGCAGACGAGACACGTACAAATTCTTCCACGGTATGATGGCAATGTTTCACTCTGTGCAAGTGTAACTGGATGATGTGAAACTAGCGGAAATAGCAACGTTAACGTAGAATAATTATCAGGAAAGCCAAAAATAATTGTGAGTTTTCTTGCGCAGGTCAACAAAGTGATCACGCATTCGCTGGCGCATCGCGACGGGCGCATCCAGCCGGGTGACCGGCTCCTGCTGATCAACGGCCAGCCCTGCACCAACATGACGCACCGCCAGGCGCTGGACGTGCTCAAGGCGCCGGCCGCGCAGGTGTCGCTGGTGCTGGCCCGCAACAACTGAACGGACCAATTAAAAACGCTGGATGCGATGGAATCCTGTACTGCTGCGTCGCTTTCACTTTGGTTGCCTTGATTCACATAAATAAATTACCACAATCTATCCGGATACGAGAGGGGATCGGGTCAAATGGAAGTAGTTGTTTTTTTTATAGTTTTCCTTTTATTTCAATTTTGTCATATTGTGTCGAGACGAGTCGGCTCTGTACTAGATGATTAGTTTATTATGGTATAATACTGGTAATTTTTTTCTTTTTGTCATTGGCGTATTTTCAGAAGTTCCCGTAGCATAATCGGCCTTTTTGCTTGTGCTGCGAAGTGCGATATACTGGGCGAAGTTTTTAATTAGTTTTTTTGTGCGTTTGCTAACTGTTGTATTCGATGCCGCCTTGCTGTGCTGTTTGTGTCTTTATAAGATGCTTTTTTTCTGTAGCTTATAGATGTAAATAAATAAGTGTCGGTGTTTCTGTAAGCTGTGTTTAACTATGTATTCGCTCCGTAGTCCGTAGGAAGTACCCGTATCGATGATCAAGTCCAGCGCACGGTGTCAATTTTTTCCCCAGAAAGTTTATTGCCAAGAACGGTTATCAACAATTTTGCACAAAATAATTTTTTATTAATGTGTTGAAAGCGTTCGACGCGTTCAACGAATCATAAGCAGCAAAACAGTCCAGATGGTACGAAACCAGATGGTATGGTACGTGCAGCTCAACTGTCTATAACGAATCATGCTGCTGCGAATTGCATGCATTTTTTGACACACAAACCTTTAATAAGTATCATGTCATAAGTACAAACTTAGTACTAGAAAACATTTATAACAGAAACACTTCCTCAATGCTATCCTGATCGGGAATTGCATGCATTAGTTCTTAAAAAGACGCAACGAATTCTGTATTTGAAACTTAATTATAAAATAACATAATGTAATGTACAGCTACGAAACTTTCCACATCGACAACGCGTACGAAGGTTGTTCAATTACAGCCATTTACAGGTCGGCCACGCCAAGTTGTCACCCAGATTTAGATATTTTATTAGAAATTTCAGAGTGACTCTAGAATTTTTTATTTTTTACGTCATAACTAATTCTGTCCTGCATTATTTGAATACGAAAGTGACAACAAAAAAACGTTCTTCGCCAACAGGATATTCGGAGGTCTTCTGCTTCCCAATACTACCTGACCCGTAAACCGTGGTTAACTGGTTATTACCTTCCGTCAGTTCCGTGCACCAAAAATGTTTTTAAAAATCGAGTTGTTCCGTAGTCCATCGGCGACAAATTTGAAGAACAGCACATTCACTGGCCTTCAGGAACGTATTTTGCCCGGTTCTATTTCAGCCACTGAAAGGTCACAACGGCGCAATGGGATTTGGCACTGTTAAAATGGATGAGTTCGTCCTTTGTGCGGGTCCCATACAAGCGTGAAAAGTCAATTAATTTACCATCCAGGAGAAAATATGATTGATGAAATATGGGGCATCCACTTTTGCTATATACTGTCTAGGAGATGAATGCGGCTTACTCCATTCCAGCTCATCCTAGTGGGGCACGTCACTTTAATTTTCCATCGCTTTGTTGGTTTTTTAATTTTCCATCGCTTTGTTGGTTTTTTCTTCCTGTCGTCGGGGATTGACAACAAAGCAAAGGTGTAATGGATATCCCTTCTCTCGTTAAAATCTTATAGGGTAATATCCTTGCCTTACCTGTTTTAAAGATCATTCGACCTTTATAATTAAAAGATCCCAGCTGCCTATGAAAAATGTTTTCTCGCTCGTACCGTTGCGCTCTCTGGTTTTCCTGGAAGACCGGAAGCTGACAGTTCGCTATCGTCCTGAAATTGCGATCTTGGTCGACTTTGTTGCACATCACACTCTCAAGAGTTTGTAGCTTATTTTTAAGCAGTTTCGGGTTGGAAGGATTGAGTACAGGCAAAGTTACTGGAATTTTTCGGATGTGGGTGGGATTTCGGAAAACAGGGACATTTTGGGAACGTAATCGTTTTTGTGCAAGTTTAGAACTTCGCCCCTTTCGTTTTCATTTACGGTGAACAAACAGAGGTTTTTTTGCACACTGAAATGAATACCAGGCGCAGAAAGTGTTTCCCACTTTTTTGGTGGGCTAAGTATACCGATGGGAGAGCTACCCCTAATGTTTCACCTTCCGTTGTGACGTTGACGTCATCTCTGGAACTAACGCTCAGGCGCTAATTCCAATAGACGCAGAATTAAATCCTGAACAAAAAAACAGGCATCCAATCTTGAGCGGGGAAACATATCAGAATTTTTAAAATTGTTTAAAATTTTGGTGACAACTTGGCGTGGCCGACCTGTAATTTTAAGAATTAGTAACGATGAGGTTTCAAGCATGACACTAAATGCACGCCATATGGAGCGGCACGTTACGTAGTACACTGGCTTTAAATAAAATGATTGGACTGCAAGCTAGCTGCAAATACTGTATGTACCTACAAAGTACAAGTCTACAACACTGGCTATTCCTGACTTTAAGAAAGCGATCGAAGCGATGCCAAACAGTCTTTGCCATATTTTTGTAATACAGTTCATAATAATAAAAACAATAATTCGAGCAGTGAGTTAATGCATATCAACAGCAGAATTTATCATTTTTTGTATTGCATTAGCGTTAATTTGTCGTTTATGCGACAATTTGGTTAGGAAATTACAACAAGTACAGTACGGTTATTTCCGTCCCAGGTGTCAATGTACTGATCAGGATACCTACATTAATATCACACACTCTGTATATAACGGTAATACGATTCCGAAGTCAAAATTGCGCCTGGAATACCGATAACGACTGCACTGATCATTAGTGCCATTGCCCGTATATCTGTAGACTGTGCCGCCAGACGTGCAGTAACTATACCGTCTATACGTACGTAACACCACACTAACACACTTGAACGTAGTCAGTTATTTACTAACAAAAATGCTACACTGTGCGTATCGGTCAATTTTAAAACAAAACAATTTCAAGACTGCTTTATGATAGCGTTAACATCCCGATGTTCGGGGCCACTGTACAAACTGGGCACGCGACTTGTATATAAGTACTCGTACATGTTGTAGGCAATAATTTTAATTTCAGATTATTTACTGCAGACACTTATTATTGTTGCACGATGTCTTGTGTCAACTACCGGTACAAAAGTAGGGTGTTGACAGCGAATAAAATAGTAACTGTTGCGCGCACAAGACCGTGGTGTATGTACAGATAGTGTGTGGTCTCTTAACGCTTACATCTGTTCTGTTCATTTGGTTACAAATGCATATTTTTGGAGATTTGCATAATGTGGTGCATGCATGGAATTCTGTGGATGCGCTGGTTGCTGGCCGGCTCCAGCATGGCAGGGTCATCGATGTCCATGCCGACGGACTGATTATCGATTTTGAATCCCCACATCAGTGCTCGCAGTTTCTTGAGTCTGGGATGATTTCTGACAGCTCGGATAAACTCACTACGGAAAACGAGTGGAGCCGGAATCGCTGCAGTGATAATTGTAGGAAGACAGAAGTTGATGTCCTGCAAGTGCTTATGCGCTCTCGTTTTGGCCGCCCGTGGGTGTGGTATCCGGCGAAATTTTTACCGCTTCAGTGGAATTATGAGGCATCGGTATGCGGGTATGTTGAGGTACAGCTGGAAGATGCGACTGTTACGGAAATGTTGCCGTCTTGGCAGATCTTTCGGCGTCCAGCGGTGGATGACCTCGCGACGAGGAAGACTGGAAGAGGTCATTTTGTCATCAGAACGTGTGACCTGCCGAGCAGTTGCTCGTCTATGATAACGTCTGCTTTATCGGTCAATTTTAGAACATCACTACAAAGACAGTCCAATGTACATTGGATGTCGGTAACCGACGACAAACTGCTTTACCTTCAGCGCGCTGATAAAAGTTCCATTGAACCCGCTAATCTGGTACACTACTTATTTACGAACTATTCCCGATGTAAAAGGCTAAAAGCATCCGATACTAGTTTGGATGATTAAACAAAAATGTATAAAAAAATAAAATTCGTTTTGCTGTATCAGCTTCTACATGTATTACAACAGAAGCTTTCGCAAGTGCCTTAAAATGGCATAATAATTTATCAATGACCTTCAATAAGCTCTACTCAATTTAGGTGGAATGCTTCCAAAACAATGACAAATGGGAAATCAATGATGAATGCAAGCAGGTGACCTCTTCTAAGGAATGTCAAATACCGCATCAGTGGCATCACCATAACGCTGAAACAATGCACAGCGCCGACAAAATGGGTCTTCCGATAGAGCTGCTTACGGAGATTTTTCAGTCATTCGACAGTGTACATCGCAGCAGATGTCGGCGAACATGCTATCTATGGAACTCAATACTCTCGTCCCAGGCAAATTTTACCGACATTTGGATAGCCGGTAAAGACCATGCTTCGTCTAGCCTAAAAGGTCACGGGAAGAATGTGTATTCACTGGCCAACTCTCTTCCAAAACAACCTAATAACCGGATCAAAAGTGTGACCTTTACTGATGCACATTACAACGAAGATTGTACAGATATTGCGCTTATGAATCAGCTGATGCAGACAACAATTCCCAAGCTTCGAAGGATTGTTTTTCACCGCTGCGAGTTTGGGATGCGGCAATGCGTCAAGGGAGAGTTGCGGACATTGACATGTAGTTTTGCCGTGGATTGTGTGATTGTATGGAAAGATTGTCGCTTGTCGCATCCTGCTGGCCGTTTATACGCTGATTTTTCGTTGACATTCGAAAATACGAAGGATTCGAGGGTGACTGATATGGAATCCCGCTTGTGGGACTTGTTTAAAAAATCTCTGAAATTTGATTACCACGACGTCAGACTTCCGCTTGTTTTCATGTAAAGCGTTTCATTCTCCAGAACATCGCCGGTGCTATGATGCTCACAGATGCTGTAACAAATTTTGTTACTTGTACAGATACTTCTATGGATATTTCCCAGTTCGCTACGAAATAGAATTAGTGTGCATATAGATGTTAAAGTTGTCTGCGAATACTTCGACACCGCGTGATGAGCGTACCGACATTAAAATTTTTCCTTAAAGGCTTCAGCATTCGTAATCTGAAAACTGTATCTTTCCTGCACCGCAAACTGGATTTCCAGGCGCAGTCTTAATTAAAAAAAATCTTAAAGCTGCAATAGGTGTAGTTTGGAAATATGCAGCTAGATATCAATCAAGTTTGAAATTCACGGTTTCTTAAGGTTTTTGAGTTTGTTAATTATAAGCAGTAACACGCTTAAGTGTTAAACAGCGTTGTAGCATTACGCCAACCTGTGCCAGTGTTAAGTTTACTGAAATCGACTTATAAGCTGATCGCACAAACATTAAATTTTTTATGCGCTGCCCCTCACATAGTTCCGACAATAAGAACAGTAAACAAAAATTGAAGCCTAGAAAAAAAACCTAAAACACTCGTTTAACGGAAAAGATCGGTCCTTCAATCAAAAGGGGTTGAAATGAATGAAAATAAAACAAACAATCGCGGTTAAAATTAAAGGAATGTTAAAATGCATGGGTACTTTTTATGGCCAGATGCATCTCCAAAGCAGATGAACTAATAGCGAATTTGGATGAATTTATTCAGACCGAACGTCCTGTAGAACGGAGACGTGGTCCAGTGTTCACGAATGCCTCTATTCAATACGCTTTCCAGCTGGACCAACTTTAGCCGCCAGGCAAACACTGCCGTACGCGTACAGGTAATCCAGAGTGGCCTCATTCCCATAAGCAATGTATTCCGTTTTGACATGGTTGTACGGTGTCGCTTCGGTGATCCACTGAATATCGACGGAATACTTGACCTTTTCTCCCTTTGAAGCGTCCCGATGTCGGCGCGCTATGCCACTGCTATATGGAAGAATCAAGACCCCCTCCTTCTTCAGCATTTCCCGACCAGGTTGCTCCAGCTCATACTCATTCGAAAGGTCAACCACATGGTCAGTCAGCACTTGCAGCACGTTCGGTTTGTGGAATTTCTCTTTGCGCTTGCGTTTCTTCTCGGCATCTTCTTTCAAGTCAACGACATCCACGTTGTCATCCGAATCCAGATACCATGCATCATCGTCGTCGTCGTAGTGCTCCTCGGTCTCGGTCAACATTTTCGGCTGGATGGGCAGCGACAACTGCTGGCACACTCTCCCAATCAGCGCATCGCTGCCCTTCAGACATTCCATTAAACTGCACAACTGCGTCTCGGCGTTGACCGGGTATTCGTGCTGCAGACCGAAGCCGATCAGTCCGCCTTGCGGTAAAAACGTTGGATCCGCTAGCAACTGTTCCAGTCCGGTCTTGAAAGTCTGTTCGTGGTTGACGGCAATGTTGCGAGTGACAGTTTCGCCGAAGTACAGGTTGTAGGTCAGCGTGACGCGATATCCGGACTGCACGACGGCCACTTCGTGCTCCACGTCGCTGAAGAAGGCCACGTACCCGATCGACGGCTCTGCAGCAGCAGCCAACTCCTTGGCTGAATCAAAAGTCCATTCTTTTCCGCCGTGACGCAGCTTCAGTTCTCCGCCGGTGTGTTTCGTAGGGAACACGATCACCAGCGATCCGAACATGTTAGCGCCCCGTGGAGTGTCCTTGTGCGCTTTGAAAAAGCCACCGGCGCCTAAACAAGTAAGACATTTATATACAGAGTAGGTCACCCCGGTAAAAGTTTTCTATGAACCAGCGAAACCTCCACAGATATTTCGAAACTTGCACCACAAAACAAGTCGGAATATTCAGAGCACACAGGCACATCAAATTACTAAGAAAGTGTTGCAAAAACTAATATTTATTCAGGTAGGTCCTATTATTGGTTAGATTGCCCCACTATCACTCGAAACTACGAAACGAAAGTTATGTTCCACAGCTCCTGCTTTTACCTGATAAAACAGACTGAGGATACTGATATTGCGTATACTCGTACTGGTTAGTGCTTATCGTAGACGTTCAGCTTGTGAAGTTCACACTTGACAGGCCTGCCATAGTTGGTGCCATCCAGCAGATCATTCTTGATACGCGTCAAAATTCCCGCGCTGTCCAAGTCGAGTTTGCTGGCGAATGCCTCCCTGTCCATTTTGCCGTCTCATCGAAGACATCCTGCTGATTGATGCCAAATGTGGCCGCTGTGCAGGCACGCGCCAGAAGCTCCAGTTCAGCGTCGGATGCATTGTGCAGATACAGCTGTCTGAATCAAATACCAGCACAAAAGGTCACAATAATTAAAAGCTGCATGTAGAGACATGTTCAACTGGTTGCAGCATTCCTCACCGTGCAGCATCGCCTTTGCCGTAGAACAGCCCGAAATCGTCTACTGGAACGCGGCACACACCGAACGTAACGGGATCGCGATCCAAAAGGCAGGTTTTCAGAGACTGGATGATGACAGACTGCGAAGTTAAGGAAGTCATGTTCTCTCTCACGCCTGTATCAGAGCTGTTGGGAGCACCGATGACTTCGTCTGCGTGCGCGGGATTTTTGGCTGGAAAAACAAAGCAACTCCAGAATTTCGTCCAGCGTCTGAAAAAGCTACCGGCACACTACAGTCTCTTTCTACTTAAAAACTGCCTCAGCATTCCCAAAGTTTTATACGGGCTGCGGACTTCACGTAGTTATGAACACCCGGAACTGCTGAAAGAATACGACCAAATGTTGCGGTTGGGGGTGGAGCAGCTGGTTAACGTAAAAATTTCTGAAGCTCAGTGGACGCAGATATCTCTTCCAGTACGGCGTGGGGGTTTGGGAACGCGACGCATCGAGACATTAGCTGTTTGTGCCTATTTGGCATCGGTGTACTCTGTGCAACCCATCGTTTCCGAATTTTATCAGCCAACTGAAGAGTGTCTGACGAAAACAGCTCAGGAAACCTGGGTACGGCTGACAGAAGGTGAGATTCCGGTAGAATCTCTTCGGAAGTTTTAGTTTGCATGGGACAGCCCAGTGATTGAGCGAGATATTTCCATGCTGATGTCCTGTAATGAAGGCAATGACCGCGCCAGGGCGGTCTTGCTGGCTGCCTTAAACAAAGACTCTGGAGCATGGTTAAATGCCTTGCCTGCGCCATGTTTGGGCACCTTCCTGAAGGACGATGATGTCAGAATCGGTGTAGCCTTGCGATTTGGATTACCGGTAGTGGTGGCACACAATTGCATCGCGTGCGGTACGCAAGTTGAAACCAATGGTCACCATGGGCTATCATGCAACAAATCAACCAAAGGACGATGGGCGCGGCATAAAGAAATGAACAGCATCGCCAAGAATTGTTGCGAAATCGCTGGTTTTCCTTGTCAGCTGGAACCGAATGGACTATCCAGCACAGACGGGAAAAGACCTGACGGAATGACGCTGATACCAGTTCGCCAAGGCAGACCGCTTGTTTGGGATGTAACAAGCTGGTGTACTGTTGCGGATTCCCACGTCACCGCAAGCTCGAAGAAATCCGGAAGTGTGTCCCAACTGGCGGAAAATTCCAAGCGCCGCACATATTCTTTTTTGGAATACGGTTACCTCTTTTATCCCCTGGTTATTGAGACACTGGGAGTTTTTGGCCCTGCCTTCAGTGAAATGCTGCATTTCATGGGCCGCAAGATTCGTGACATAACGGGCGAAGCGCGTTCTACTGCTTTTCTCAAGCAGCGTTTTAGTTTAGCAGTTGTTAAAGGAAATGCTACGGCTGTTTTGAGTACACTGCCTTTTAATCCGAGAGAGGATAAGGATTTTGGTTTTTTTTTAATGTTTAATTTTTAACTATCAAGTAGTGTACCAGCGCTTGCATTTATTGCTATTTGGGTGGCTATTGCCAATAAATCATTACAAGTACTAGTAACTGAACGAAATGCAATTTTTTTAACGATGTCGATAGCAGATGAGTGCAGATTTGATTTCTGAAAACTACTGATGCACATTAATCCAAAACTCAAATACCAAGAAAAAAGGTTACTCCGTAGCTCTAAACTGTGAAATCTGCAGACTGGAGATCGGCTATTTACGGTACAATAGCTAGTGCAGTAGCAAAGCCGAACTGGTTCAAACAGGCTTAAAAGGGCAAGCTAAATGATGGTCAGACATGCTGCACAAACTCCGGCAGAACAGGCAACCGGCTACCTGGAAAGGCTGACGTGTAGTGAGAATAGGCAACGTAAGTAATGCTTTACGTATCACGTATGTAACCAATTTTACTATTCTTTATGTAATTTATTATTGCTTTGTTTTTATGCGTGTGTGCTGTAAAAGTGCTTTGTGGTTTACACATATATTTTACTGCACATCGTATGCGCGGTGAGAGTCTGCAGTACATACTCGTAGTACTGTAAAGTGTAAAAAAAGCAAAAAAGCGGTTTTTTACGGTGTTGTTTTAATTAACATTTAATGGCAACAGAGTACAGCAAAATAAATTCCGTTTTTCACTTTACTGTTAAGCTGTAGGCTGGTACTACGTTTAACTGTCACTATAAATATGCCGGTTCCGAATAATCCCTGCAGAATGGCCGTTGATGACTGCACCGGGCTCTTGCGTAATACACACGCATATCCATACTTTACTGCATTGTGCAGTGGCAAGTGCAGATCCAGAAGTGCTGGCAGAAATCTTGGGCTGTAGCGGAGAGTGTGTGCTATACGAATGAGTAAGCAAGTTAATGGTTGCAAAAAATATGTCCATGGCGTTATGAGATAACGGACAAATTATCCACATTTTATAGCCACAATTCTTCGATGAGCACATGGCGTGCGCTGAATGTTCATGATCTCGGCAGTGTTCAGTGTTCCCCACATGCAGAGCAGACACCGATAAAAAACACTTGTTACACGATGCATGCTCATCGCACATATCGATTTTGCCGTTTTCATCTGTCTACATTAATTTTATCATCTTGGTCTTATAAACGAATGCAGGTACGGAGGTACCCTTGAAATTGCGTTTTGCAGTTTTAAATAATTAATTTTTACAATATAGTACATCGTGCTACATCTTAATACGTGACTGGAAGTTGATTCAGTTGATTGAGGTTTTGGCAAAAAACCGGTCAAAACTGTCTGCAATGGTTTCCCTGAAAATCCAGTTAATTATCGCACTTGTGACCATCGACCAGGTCGTTCGGTTTTCCCTTGGTGTTGACTATGACGAGAACGATGTCGTTATTCCTGCAGGTGCGACTACTGTAGCAATAGTGAGAACGAAGCCGGTAAATCCCTAACTGTTACGATGTTGATCTTCAGTTGCAGTAACTTGGATTTCTACGTTAAAAAATTACAATAAATCGAATAAAACGATGCATATAATGATTGTACTATTCGGAAGCAATTTTTTCCTGAAGTAATTTTATCTACTTTTAGTCCTCGCATTATTATGCAGTCTTTGCAGTTCTTCTTTGAATAGACGCGTTGTACAGTACGCGATTGTCTGCTTATACGTTTTATGTGCTTTTAAAGTTTGATCTGGACTCAGCCCATTGTACATCGAAGTACAACTAGGGTTGTGCTATAATTTATTTGTTTAATTATTATGTAATGTATCTGTACAGATATATGTACTTTGTAATTTGTATACTATATGTGTTGCAGATGTATTTTCCGATTCCGCCGCAGCATCTGAACACGGGGATGACGAGCAGGCATTTCCGGTTCTGTGGCCCAACAGACTGGCCATTCCCTATGACATCAGTGATGACTTTAGTAAGTCCCAGAACGGCCCATTATACACAGCATTCTTGTAAATTGTTATGGTGTCATTATAGATACCGAGCAGAGAATGAAAATTCAAACAGCGCTCAGAATAATGGAACGGCAAACCAAAGGATGTGTCATGTTCCAGAAGATACGGTCTGCTGAAAATGACACTGACTTCATCTTTTTTAAACGGGGACAAGAGTAAGGTCAAGATATAAGCTGAATCATACCTTTAAGCAAAAGGAGCATGCAAGATAAGCCGAAAAGGAGCAGTTTTCATTAGTGGGTTATTACTGCTCTCGTTTTCTCACTAAATCTTGTCTAATCATAAGTGTCAAGCTGCGAGAAACAAAAGAACAGCTAAATGAAGAACGTTGATTGATTATTTTAAGTGGAGAGGGTACATTTTTGCTATTTATTTTTGCGTACAGTGAAGCTGTTTATTTTTACTTATACAGTTATACGTAATACGAGTATACAAAAAAATTAGTTACACTGCACATATATTTTACCGTATGACCTTTATCCAATTTGGTAACATATTTTTAGAGTGTTCTTACAATTTGTCATGCTCGTTTTTTGCCGTGCTTACAGATGCCACTCTTACATCGGAATGGTAGGAGGACGCCAAGATATCTCCCTTGCCGATGAATGTTTGGAAAAGTCAGCGGTCATCCTCCACGAGGTCATGCATGCACTAGGCTTCAACCATGAGCATGCGCGTTTCGACCGCGATCAGCACATCATTCTGCACGAATCCAGGATATTAGAGAATGAAACGTACAATTTTTACGCTTCTCCGGCATCGTTTTACCACGGCACGAAGTACGACTACGATTCCATTATGCACTATCCGGCTACCACTTTCAGCAAGAACAGCACATCACCGGTTATTATTCCACGACGGGGATTAATTGTCCGCATTGGTATGGGACAGAATCTGCGCTTAAGCCCCGGAGATATCGCTAAAATACAGACGGCCTACAAATGTCCTGTCTATGTCACTGAAAAGGTCAACGCGTCAACGGTAGTGGAGACCGAAGCGTTTCCGCTGTTCTCTTCGGAACCGATGACCTCAGCGGAATGTCTGTCGCAGATAAACGACAACTGCTCGGCAACAATCGTGTTTTTGCTGGGAATGATGGGATGCATGAATTACAGTGCGCTGGAAATACGTTGTAATGCGGATACCAATATTAGCGTGCTGGAAGGTATGGCGGTGAAAATGGCGGCAGGACCGTTGCGGCCGGTTATGATTGAAGCGAGAGGCAGACAGTTGGAATCAAATTCTTTTTCACCAGTGCGGAAAATAGTAATTAGACTACGATTGATGAACTGTACGAATGAACGTATAACCGGCAGAATAGCCGAACTGAATTTTGTCAATCTGCTGCATTTGGAAGCATACGAGTGCCAAGATTTGGTAATCCGTCGGATGGATTTTATGAATTCAACCAAACTCCGTATAATCATCTTATACAGCACAACCATAAAGCACCTGGAAAGAGACTCATTTGCCGATTTACCGAATTTGAGAATCTTGACCTTAGAAGCCCTGTGGAGCGGTCAGCAATATGAATACGGGAATTTCGCTCCGTCGATGCGCAGTTTCCTGCGCAATTTGCACTGCAATTGCGAATATGCCTGGTACCGAGCGTGGTGGCACAGCAATAGACAGTTGAAACTGCGAGTTGAATACGGCGAATTGTACGCGCTGGAGGGTAATGTGGAAAGTCCAGCTTATGTAAGAAAGGACATCTACCATCCTGTTGACTGCGCTGCGGATCCCTTTCCGCTTGGGATATCGTGGGTTAATTATGAAAATCAAATCGAGTATTCGATTAACGAACCGAAATGCAATCCGGAGGCGCTGACCTTTGAATTACCAATGACTACTATCCGGTTGCACGTGGTCAGCGGTGGTAGCAAAACTGCTACTTCTACCGCAGGACCCACAACAGCTTTAGTATGCGCTGTCTTTTTATTTTTTAATTTAAATGTCCATATTTTTTGACCTGTTGATAATATGTGAAAACCGCGAATGCGGCAACCATATCCAATAAAACCGTTCTGATATCACATTGATAGAGAATGAAGTATTAAGTATGAAGTATTCGTATTGTTGATATTCCCGTACTCATATTGTTGAGTGAAGTTAAAGGCAGGGTTCGGAAAACCCGCATACGCACATAATCAGCACTCTGTGTCTATTGTTAGGTGCATTTTGAAATAAGGTTTGCAATTTACTTCTTCGTTCTAATCGATTCGCTGATTGTTTACAAAGAATGATGAGAAGCTCATTATTATTATAATAACAGTTGCAACGCAAAAGCAAACTCCAACATTGTTTTAATTTGACAACGCAATTTTCATACAGTGCCGGTTGAAGTTTCTGTCCTTCACCGAAAGGTGATCGATAAAACTGAGTGCGTTGACAATTTAGTTCGTAACTTTCACTCGATAAATTCCAAACTCTGATCGCCGTATCCGTACTTATCTTTGTGCGTATTGAACAGCTTCTCCAGTTCAGCCATGTAGGTTTCATGCAGCGCGGTGATTTTCTCTAAGCTTGGATCTTCGTCCTTCTCCACAACAATTGGCTTACCGACTGCAAATTAAAGTGCTCATAAAGGTCACTGCAATCTTATCGTCTGTCGGTACATTATGTGTTAAAGATTCTTGAAACTTTTTCAACATTGAACGAAAGTTCCAATTTTCCAACGTATTATTGTATATACAAATACAAAGTATAGTAACAGCTAATTCAAGGAAAGTGTATTTTGCTGGTCGTACCGACGGTAGTGATTGGATGCCGGTAAGGAACAAATCCAAAAGTGTAATTAAAGATTCCTCGGCCCGACACCATGATGGGGGCGTAGCCAGCCACTTTCTGCACGTAGCGCTGCAGTTTGCGCACTCTCGATCCAGGATCATTTTTCACCAGGAGCCGGAAAATGTCGTTTTCTCCGAAAGAAAAAGCCGGGACCAAATGAGCTCTGCAAGTATCATATATAGTTGAAATACAGCCTTAGTTTTCGTAAGGTTTCATAAATTTTTTAAATTTTCATAGGTTTTTAGTTTCCTTAAAAGGTTTGTTTGGTTCTCAGCTTTTCTTAAGTTGCATAAATTTTTAAGACTCTTAGATGTTTTAGGGTTTCTTAAGGTTAGTTGGGCTATTTCTAAGATATTACGTTTAATTAGGTTTCTCAAGGTTTCTTAGATTTTTGACGTGTCGGGGAGCCGTGTATGATAAAAGTCAAATACGTAACTGTGTAACTCCCGTAGCTTACCCGTGCTTCAGCGCCATCTTCGCAAACCCTTTCCGCCCTTTTAAAACTAGCGTTGTCTTGCGCGGATTGGCGTCCATCGATTCCTTCGCTCCCCCGATCAAAATCACTATCGCGTTGCCCTTCTTGCGGAAGATGTAGTTAATGCTCTCCTTGCTGACGTCGCACAATCCGCAAGCACTAATAAACTCGCGGTAAAACGGCAAGAAATGCAGTAATTTCAGCGTGAGCACGGTAAACTTGACCCCGGGAAACACGTGGCTGACATTATTGGCTTCATTGGTGAAGTTAGTGGTGCCGGCGCCCATGACCCCGTGCGGATGGTACCCCACAATATAGTTCTGCCCAGGATCCAGTTCCGCTGTCTTCACTAATGAGATGGGGAAGAAATCCCGCAGGTACGTGTGCAACTTCCAGCGCCGCACCCATTCGAAGCGGCGCCCGCCCCGGCTGCAGGTTTCGTAGTCGTATAACAACCACACCGCGTACAGGAAGGTGATCCAGTAGTATTTGGTGTGCAGGAGGTACGCTAGGAAGAAGAGACCGCTGACGCCGCCGAAGAAGAAGGTCATCACCGCCATGAAGGCCGCTAGTGTCTGCAGACGTCGCTGTAGATATAAAAGCGTCCGATTTACTAATATGCAAACTACGTAAAGCGTAAAACCTCTTTAATACGAACCTGTAAAGGGATGTTTAGCGGCGCCCATTCTATTCCACCAACTTTTTTCCTAAAACCCCAGAACCGGTTTATACCAGTACAGATTCTACGCTAATACTGATTGCCAAATTACCCAGACATGGTGCCTGATTAAGCGTAATTTGTAATTTGGTGGTGCACCCACAGTTAACCCATAAATTTTCTTGCACGGTAGCCGATTCCGTCGAGACACTTTTCTAATGAAGTCCCACAAAACGTACAATCTAGAAGGCTAAGCTTTGTAAGTAACCGCAAGAAAACAGAAGAACGGATTCACGGAATATCAGTTAAGTATCGCAAGGCGCTGAACTTCTTCGCCGACTGACAGCTGCAGAACAACTTACGGTTGATTGAGCTCAATGTCAGCTTTTGTGCCTGGAAGAATAACCAGAATAACTACCGGTATGTATTATCACTGCCTTACTATTACTATCGTGTGTTAGATACATAGAAAGATAAATTTGCCATGCTGCGGCGACGAATCGACCGACATCTCGCCAGGGTAGCAACAGTAAGATAAGAGATGGCAAAGACGCGATAAGTATGTTTCAACATACGACTATATCTATCTTGCTAGATGCAGTAGTGTGGTATGGTTTTGTGCCTGACTACCTGGTCATGCGTCAGCCGGACTATGGTCGCCACTCTTCACCGATGCGGTTAAGTAATGCAGCGTTTTGTCCGCATTACTCTATTACGCTTACTTGTTCCAAAGCGCTTCTTGCTGCAAAGTTTGTTTGAAAGTTTGAAACTGTTTCAAACCCTCTGACTTTGGTCGCAGTCGCAGCAAATATTAGGACTATGACGGAAGATTCGTTGCACCATTGTTATATAATTCTCTTTTGACATACCATTCGTGTGCGTAGTCGGGATTCGCCGGATATTTTATGTCACGTGGGTATTAGCTGACAAGTCATCCATACAGTCTACGAGTAGTAGATACATACTAAATAGACATAATTACAGTATCACTCTTACTGCACAGTACAATTATTATAGTAACCTTAAACGGTTACGAAAGTTCAGGTCGAAGTTGTGATGTGTTTTCGTCGCCTCAGCCTACGTATTTCTACTCACCGGAGGACTGCTGGTTGCGGTATCGCACTTTAACAAAGCGTGCGATAGCTATCGTTGCAATGGATACAGCGAAATTCTGGTTGCGGACGAATATTTATGCAGACGAATAGCATTTACTGCGCTTCTTTACAGAAGTACCGCGAGCACAAGGAAGCACAGTTCTTTACACAAGCACCGCAAGATCTTTTAATAAGCGAAAGCACCAAGATGTTCTAGTTGCAGGTATAACGAAGTGAGCGTTACGTTTGTTTCTTTCTTTGTTTGCTTGATAGTTTGACTTCTGCATTAAGCAGGCGTTGTGAATTGTCTCACTCGACTGGCGGTCTGTTAACGAAGTCACGTATGCAAGTCTAGGAAAAGTTTTCGACAATGAATGAATTCTGATAGTATTATTGAGCTCCCGTTTCCTGCTAGCAAAATCAATGCCAACGCCAATTTGCCTTGGTGTACACTGTACAGATACATAAATAAGTGGCAGCTGATTAATGAGAGTTTTTGCTTTGACTGGTCATGAAGCACCACGATCAAATACTCGTTCACCGCTTTCCAAAATTACATTTCGCTGTAGTCCCACAAGCATCATGATCCATGTAAGAAAACAAATAAAAAACGCATAGAAAAATGATAATGTCTGGTGAAAGTTATCGACAGGAATATCTGTGAAGAAATAATGAATACTTGTTAGATACACCGATTGACATGAGCGCGAATACGAAAAAGTCACACAGTTCTACCAGATGATGTGCAATATACGGACTTCCAAACGGCAACCACGGATTGGATGATCAACGATTCAACTGATAAAACGCGATGCGATGTGCTAAAATTTGCAATACTGGAGAAACAACCTCTGACTTTAGTCTTTAGTAATCTTCTTTTTCTTCGTGATACTGCCCAAAGGGCACCGGCGCCATGGAATGAGCGGCCACCGGCATACCCGGTCCGCTGTGGACAATGGACAGGTTCTGCCGACTGATGCGCGCCGCCAGCGAACTGAGGACAATGAAGACAAAGGCCAAGAGCATGGCCATGGCCACGCCCACCGTTATGCCCATGATGCGGGCGTTGCGCTTCTCCGTCTCATTGTCGTGGTTGTCCTCGGGGATGTAGGAGAACATTACGGTCTCGGGGATGAAGTGCCGGGTGGCGTGCCGCGATCCCGACGCCCACATCACCTAAACAGGCGCATTGGATTACGTGCTGAACTCCCGCTTGGTGAATAACTAAGATAGCTGAGTGTATGAATTATTAATGAAAACAACTTGCCAACATTAACGTATTCTGATGCACACGAATGCACAGTTTTTGGGTGGGATAACTACCGTAAAACCCGACTTAAATGCCTTGGACCTTTATTTTTCGAGAGCTTCGGGAAGGGGCGCTTAAAACCGCAGGTGGCGCTTATTACGGGGGGCGTCTATTATTTCAAATACATAACGCGCTGTGATACTCCAGCCTTAACGAGATTAATCTTATAAATATCAATGGATTCAATGCATTAATGTATGTACTATAATACGATTTCGCTACGGTAGGTAATTTAGCTGCTGATTTTGATAAGTCATAGAAAGCTTTTAATAACTGTTTCGACAGAAGAGAAGTAGTAACAACAGCGGTTGATGGTAGTAACAATAGCGGGCTCTCCTATTGGTCGGTTTGGCCTGAGTACCGCCCCCATACACTGTAGGGTATACGAATAGCGGATTATGGTCTGTGCACTGTACTGTATATACGTACAAATCAGTTTGGTCTGATGGTGTGTACGAATAGCGTACAGACCATCTAATGTGTACAATAGCGTACAGACCATTTAACCTGTGCTGGATGTACTGTGTACAACAGCGTATTGGTCGGTTTGATCTGTATACCGCCTACAATCTACTGTGTACAATAGCGTACAGGCCATGTTCTGTGTACAATAGCGTATTGGTCGGTTTGTTCTGTATACCGCCTATAATCTACTATGTACAAAACCGCATTGGCTGACGTTCTACTAGTACTATACAACTGAAACCAACTGTACTGCATTATCCATGCACTGACTTGTGGTCAAAAGCACAAGCCAAACTATTCCAAGTCATCGTTCTTAGTTTTCACTTCTGGAAGTCACCATCTAAGGAATTTTATCTGCAGCACTACAACTGGATTAACGTGCGTGATCGTGTGCTATCATTATGGAAGTTGTTTTGCTGGAAACTGCAAGGTTATTTGCACGTTTGAATATCTTAATGTTGTCATTGTTGATGTCCACGTTGTGTTATTTTTGCACTCGGATCTGTACTGATTTTGGAATATTTCTCATCTTGAACTGATTGACTGGCACGGAACAGCACGTGTTATCGCAGGCGGAGTGGAGAAGTGTCCGCATTCCGGAGAAATTTCATACGGTAAGTAAATGTGTACGTGCTAATTCCTCTTTTCCGCACTTTCTCATGGTTTTCATCTCTGCCTACATTTAGTTATACAAAGTTATACAAAGTTATACCTTCCTGGCGCCGTTCACAAATTTTTTCATAAGATTCCCTCTGTCTAATAACTGTCTCTCCTTCAACTTTGACGCGACAATCTCAAGATTTTATTGTCTTACGAAGTGCATGGCGCCGCACCAGGTGCATTCTTACTTTCGCTTCTTTACTTTCCCACGTGCTTCATATGACAATCTCAACATTCCAGCTGCCTAATTACTGTCTTTCTTGCAAGTCTGACGCGACATTCTCAAGTTTCTTTCATGCTTGACGCGACATTTTCAAGATCCCTGTTGTCTTACCGTCTTGCTTGGCGCCACGCCAGGTGCCTTCCCACAATCCTTACCACATGCTGCGTAACTTCCAGCTGCCTAATTACTGTCTTTCTTGCAAGTCTGACGCGACATTCTCAAGTTTCTTTCATGCTTGACGCGACATTTTCAAGATCCCTGTTGTCTTACCGTCTTGCTTGGCGCCACGCCAGGTGCCTTCCCACAATCCTTACCACATGCTGCGTAACATTCCACCTTTCTGATTTCTGTCTGTCCCTCAACTGTGCCTTGACATTCTGAGATTTTCTAAACGTGTGACTCGATGTTCTCAACCTTTTTTTTTTTTCCGGGAAAAATGACAACACATAGTACAACTTCATTGGACACAACTTTTTAGATGATAACACATGGTTCAACTTCGTCGGGCGCAACTTTTTTTTTTTTGGAAAATGACAACATATAGTACAACTTCATTGGACACAACTTTTTAGATGATAACACATGGTTCAACTTCGTCGGGCGCAACTTTTTTTTTTTTTTTTTTTGGAAAATGACAACACATAGTACAACTTCATTGGACACAACTTTTGAGATAATAACACATGGTTCAACTTCGTCGGGCGCAACTTTTTTTTTTTTTTTTGGAAAATGACAACACATAGTACAACTTCATTGGACACAACTTTTCAGATGATAACACATGGTTCAACTTCGTCGGGCGCAACTTTTTTTTTTTGGAAAATGACAACATATAGTACAACTTCATTGGACACAACTTTTAGATGATAACACATGGTTCAACTTCGTCGGGCGCAACTTTTTTTTTTTTTTTTTTTTTTTTTGTGACTGAAGGCCGCTATGGGACGATGCAAGGAAGTTCCGGTACGAAACCGGAGTCGCAAAACAATCTTAATGGATAAAGAACAGTCACCTGTCCTTTCAACACCAAGATCGTCTGCTTCATTTACCGGACAATGTCCAAGATGCGGAACGATGGTTGTCAAGCCTTTAAGCGCACATATCTTGCAACACTGCTCGTATCTTTCAAGAGTTTCAAAGAATTCGCAGAGAAAGAATGTTCTGCGGCTAAACGGGCTGTGGATGCGCTAGAAACGCTGCACTATCCTGGAAAGCGGTTTGTTAAGCAGTTGGATAAAGTGACCAGTGCTTTGGCTCATGGTTCAGGTGTTCGCGTGGCGAGAACATTCGATGCTGACCATTACAATCGTTATGTAGCGGACCGGGATTTTACCGACTCTTGGTCGCTCAGCAATCTTGCTGCATCGCTGAATTGTGTCAACTTGAAGAGTCTTCTTCAGATGCTTGCAACGAGAGGCAGCTTCTTGATTCCTGTGTCAACAACAAACAAGCAAATGCACAAAGACCTCATTTTTCATGTGTCCGTGATGGTGCTAATCAATAACGGTAGGGATTCGTGTTACGGTTGTAACGATGTCATGTCATGTCATGTCTTTCGTAGGCTCAGAAATAAAAATCATGTTCTTCAATCCAAGTGGCAAAAAGTGTTCGTCCAAATTCATTGGCCGCGCCTTCATCGAAGCTGTTCTGGATGAG